TGGTCAGGGCGGTTAAAGGATACAGTTGGGGTAGGGGAAGCGGCAAGAGTGTGTCCAGGGACAGCCAGTAAATCACTAACAGAATCAAGCCTTTCTAAAGAATGGACCAGGACTCCCAAACCAGACATCCTCTGAACAGAAACTAGCCAGAGGCAGTGGACATAATGGAAAAGACTTGGGCTTAGCGAGTGAGGAATCCTGGGTTCTGACCCAACTCTGGGTAAGTTGTACAAGTGTGTCCATTCTGAGAGTTGGTGCGGGTCAAACTGTTATACCTCTTATGTATGGTTATAAAGCAAGTGCACTGCACAGTGCCAGACAGGGTAGATTCTCTATACATTCCTTTTCGCCACTCTCTGAGTCTCTTTTTATTATTTATAATTTGGTTATTAGACCCAGAAAGAAACAATTCTAAGAGTGGTGAAATGCTCAGGGCCTAAGCATGGCACTCAGGGCTATTACAGATAAAGAAATGTCTACCCTGACCCGTGTAGCTCGGTTGGCAAGGCATCGCGGGGATAGGTGAAAGGTCCCCAGTTGGATTCCTGGTCAGAGCACACGCCTTGGTTTCAAGCCTAGTTCCCTGTTGGGGGTGTGCGAAAGGCAACCCATCAATATTTCCCTCGCACATCAACATTTCTCTCCCTTTCTCTGAAGAATCTTTTTTTAAAAAATAAAGAAGAGCCCTGGCTGATGTGGCTCAGTGGATTAAGCACCAGCCTGCGAGCTGAGAGGTTGGCCAGTTTGTATTCCCAGTCAGGGCATATGCCTGGTTTGTGAGCCAGGTCCCTGGTTGGAGGGGTGTGAGAGGTGACTCTTTTCATTCTCACACAATGATGTTTCTTTTCCTGTCTCTTTCCCTTCTCCTCTCTCTAAAAATAAATTTTAAAAAGTTTAAAAAGAAAAATATCCAAGTTAGGGTTTTCTGGGGGTTGGCAGTTTAAATGCTGGTAACTTGGCTTTTGGGGAAATGGAGTTTGAGAGGAGGGGAAGTGAATGCCAGATGTCTGGCAGTATTAAATAACAGAAGGAATACAAAATTAAAATAGTAATGTCTTCTCCCCTTCTCCACCTCACCCCCATCTTCAAGATTGTTATTCTTTCTGCCCAGGGATCTGGTGCCTAACTTTTGACTTAACCTGGTATCTTCAAATAAGGATAGTTAAGGATTACTCTAGGCTTTATAAATCCCTGATCAGGGTCACTCCACTGACCTCCTCACTGTTCTCCCTCATATCCACCAGCCACCAGCGGTAGTTCTGATGCGCACATCTGCCCTTGCTTCGAGAACTATGTAGATGTCGCACCCAGATCTCCTGGAATCTCTTTTTCGTGCTTCTGTGTGCCCAGATTATGTTCTATATGCTTTCAAAATACAGCATCAGAGGTTCTTTGGTGAACTGCCCCTCTGGCTAAGAGATGTTTTGCCTAAGATAGCTGAAAACTGTTTCAAGTACCTCCCAACACAGACATTACCCAGTGTCTGTGGAGCTTAGCTCTCTTGCCTCCAACTCTGTAGAAGAACTTACTGACTCTGGACTTTTGTCTGAGAATCTTGCCTGGCCTCCTGCCCTTCCCTTTCCTGCTTCCCCTACTCCCTTCCAGGAACATTCCTCAACCAATCACTTGGATGCAAATCTCCATCTCAGGGTCTGCTTCTAGGGAACTCAACCTGATACATCCTTTCCCAGCTTAAAACACATGCATGGACCCCTGCTGCCTCCAGGATAAAGCTCATGGTCCTTGGCTGTACAGTCAAGGCCCTACACCCTGACTGCTGCTGCTTACCTCTCCAGCCTCACCCACCTGCACTGCAGCCAGCAGGATTTTCAGCCCAGCAAGTCCCTGGTTGCCTATATCCCCCTCAATCCCCCACCTCCATCAGCAGTCCCACCAAGCAGGCTCTTGTACCTTTCTTCTCTTTCTCTGGCAAGATGGGCAGGAAGGCCCCACTGCTCTGTGGAGCCCCTTTGCCTCCCTGCCAGGGCCCCATCCTCAGGGCATGCCCGGGCACAATCTGGAGTGTTCCTTTCTTTGGAGGCAATAGGCACAGGTGGTGGGCAATATTTTTAACCTCACTCAGGCTCAGGAATCAGGTGGCTTAGGAGGTTTCCCAGTCTGGTGACCTTCACCTCTTGTGACTGCCAAAAGGGAGAACCTGTGACTGCCAAGGAGTCAGAACTGAGGCCTGAAGCTGGGTCACATTGTCTGGGAAGCAGACACATTTGTTAAATGAAATGAATGAAAAGTCTTTGCACAAACTGACTGAGTCTCCCCTACTCCCACCAAATCAAATGTGCAAGAGACTTGGGGCCAATTCTACTGCTGGTCTGCCAGGCTGTCAGGACAATTAAGAGACTGGGTATGAATTAGTTGCACCCAAGGGCTCAGGAAACCTGAATGGGATCAGAAACAAAAGCTCACCTGCCCTCCCCTCATGGGGCCCAAGAGGGCATTCAAAATGTGAACTTTAATAACAAACAGCAGGTCAAAATGGGGTTCCCCAGGAACGAGAAAGATGAAGCTGGTGCTGGAGGCCTCAAGGGTCCCCACTTCCTCCCTCCAAGACCTGGAGACAAGGAAGCAGTGGACTCTATTGAGGGTTGGGACCAGGCTCCATGTAAGTCCATCTGTTTGGGGTCCTAAGACCCAAGATGCAGCAGCGTGTGGAGCAGGGTGGCACCCTGTCTTCCCAGAAGCTCCTGGCAGGGTGTTTGGCCCAAGCTTGGCAGGTGAGCAGACCAAGGGTGGTGGGGTCAGATGCGGAAGCTTTCTTCCCGGCCATCGATATGACGGAGCCGCAGATAGACATCTGTGCCAATGCCCTGCAGGGACTGCAGCCGAAGGGAACCACCAAGGTACTCTGCGTAGGCCCGTGATGTGGGCAGCCCGAAGCCAAAGCTGAGGTGGGAGTAGGGGACAGGATAGGGGCTTCAGAGGCTTAAATCTCCTAGAGCCCCACACCCCTCCAGAATGGCCAGGTGGGGTCTCACCCATGCATGGGTCCTGACTGGCCACCACTGTGCATGTCCAAGTGGCCAAAGAGTGGGTTGATCCGGGGATCCTGAGTGCTGGACTCAGCTGTAGTGAAGTGGTAATCCATAACCCGATCCAGGTCTTTGTGAGCGATTCCCCCGCCTCTGTCTGAAATCCTGGCAGAATGTCAATAATACGAGCTTGGCTCAGCTTGATAGGGGTGCTCACTACCTCCCAGGCAGACAGTATCATCCTGTCCCTTCTACCCAAAGGTGGCAAGGTCCACCTAGACCCTTGGACCTTATTTCTTTTAAAGCTGCATTTCTCTATCCTCCTCTGCCTGGGCCACTGACTGCTTATAACTTCTCATGGGATTTCACACTTATTCTTAGCCCAGCATCACAGACTGGCTACTCCTCTTTCCCCATTCTAGGCCCATCAGGTGCTAACAAGAACGGGGCCCTGGAACCTGCAGCTAGCCCCAGATTCATTCTTATCCAGCTCATGGCAATCTCAGGACCATGGAATAGTTTGTCTGACCAGAGACCAAGTCTCAGAGTGTGGCTGGTACTGGCTTGAGTTCATATATCAAGTCATATAGCCTGGAACCCCTTGTCTACCCCAACCCAACTCCCACTCAGGGCAAACCTGATGACGAGATCAATATCGTTGTTGGCAATGGTAATAACCACATCTGGGACATTGTAGGGAGTGTCTAGGTGACTCTCCATTGTGGCTCTATACGGGGGAGAAAGACCAGTAGTCGGTGGTGGTATCCCAGCCTCACTCCAGTCCCTGTCTGACCTCTTTCAACATATCCAGCAAGCCCACCTCATGGCATTCTTGAGCAGCTCGGGCAGGATGTAGTCCAGCGGCATAGGGATGAAGGGGAATCGGGCAGCCACATGTCCATTGATGCGGACTCGGGGGGCATTGCCGTACTTGTGCTCACACAAGCGTCTGTGGGTAGGAGCAAGGGTTCAGACCTAGACCAGTGGTTCTCAACTGGAGGTGCTTCCTTCCTCATGCCTGGCCCCCCCACCCAGGGAAATTAAGACATTTTTGTCACAACTGGGGAGTACTATTGACATCAAGTGAGTAGAGGGCAGGGATCCTTCTAAACATCCTAACAAGCACAGGACAACCCCTCACAAAACAAAATTATCTAACCCAAAATGTTAATAGTGCCATGGTTGAGAAACCCTATCCAGACCATACCACAGGGAAGGGCTCAGAGCCAAGCCTTCCCTGCCCAAAGACATCCACGTCCCGTCCCCCCCCCCACGCCCCCCCCCGCCCTTAGCTGTTCTAGCCTCACCTGGCAAAGTCCACCCACTTTTCAATAATCTTCTTTGGTGAGAGGCGAGTGCAGATGATGCCGACAAAGTCAGGCTGACAGGAGAAAGAAGGTCAGGACTAGGCAGCCCTCCACCCGCACTTCAGTCACCAAATGCTTGCAACCTCTGGCCTGGTGAAGTGGCCCAAGCCCCTCCCCAGGTCCTTACCCAGGTCCCCAGCCCAATGGGCCCCTGGCTCAGTCCCCCCTGCCTCATTTGACATTCCCAGGTAGGTCTCAGGTCCCAGTGCCCCACCTTGTCCTCATGCAGTGCCAGATGATGTGTGGCCAACATGCGGATCCCAAGCCTAGAAGTCAGTGTCTTATCCAAGAAGTAGCGGACAAGCTTCTCATCCTATAAACAGCGGGGCCTCAGAAATGCTATGTCCTTCCCAGGGCCCCCAACAGGACCCCACTGCTCGGCTGCTGACCTCTATGTGCTTCCGGCTTTCACGTAGGCCCTCAGCTAAGAGGGTCACCACATCTTTGTGGTCGTCCAGCAGCTGACGCACCAGCTGGCAATATTGGGCCTCATCTGTCTGGTCCTTGATCTGCGGGCCACAGAGTCATAAGCATGGATGATTCAGCCCTGACCTCTCAACCCCTCACCCTGTCCTGACCCAGCCCTCACCGGAGGGAAGTCTGTCAGCTTCTGGAAGGCACGGATGTACAGCTCATGCTGCAAGGAAGAGGTGTCAGAATTCACAAGGATGCTGTGGACTCTAGGTAGAGAATAACTACCTATGTTAACCCAAGGGGACTGCCACCACCCCAATTCACTAGGTTCAAACCACCATGGGGCCTTTCAAGCCCCCATGAACACGCAGCCTTGGCCTGAAGGTCTGAGTCCTCTATGATCAATCCTCAAATCTTTTGGCTGGTAAGTCTCTGCCGCTCTAGGCCCATTGCCCCATTTGCCCCTTGGGTGGTAGCCACTCTGATCTAAGGTCCCCTCTACTAGGGAAACCCATGCCCCCCCCCCCCCACCGACGGGCCACCTTACCACATGTAGTATGGTGGGGTTGCAGCCAATGATGAAAGGAAGGCTACGGAAGCCCTTAATGCGGTGAGCAATCCTCACTGGCAGCTCTTGCTGCAAGTACCGAGCACTTTTCTAGAAGAAAAAAAGGCAGAAGGCAGGGCTGGGGTCTGAGTGGCTGGGCCATAGCTCCAGGGACGGACAGAAAAACAGTGAGCAGGATTCTTACCAGAAGGTGGCTGCCATCCTGAGAGCGGCCAGAATAGAGCATCATGGTGGGAGTGAGGCGGACTGAGGGCTGGAGGGGCAGATGGGGCTTGAGCACTGGATCTCCAATACTTCGCCCTGCCATAATAGCTCCACCCCTTCCCTAGACACCCACTCCAGCTTCGGACCCGGGCCTCGCTGCCCCAGCTGCCCACCTTCTCTGCTGCCACATCAATGGCGGACTGGTTGTAAAAGGAGGTAACAGTCTTGGAGCGCTCCCTTGCCATCTCCATGTGGTGAGTATCAGTGGCTGATGTGGAGAGGGCCCGTAGCAAGAGTGCAGGCCCAAGGAAGGGCCGGAGTGGAGGCCCGCCCCGGGGGCCACTTCCCAGCACCGACGCCAGTATCATCGTCCTCCTTTGTTGGACTGGATAGACGAAGGCGACCCCCAAATGGGGTTAGGGAGGGCTCTAATGGGTAGGCAAGGGCTCTTCTCTTGACTTCAGGAGCGAGGGCTGTTGGAGGATGCTGACAAGCTCAGACCTAGGAAGCAGCTCCCATCTATCGGGACGGGGGGGGGGGGGGGAGAATTGTAAGGATAGGGTCGGTACCACCCGAACATCTCTCCACGTAAGCACTGGTATATCCTAAGACCTCTGGGCAATCTCTCTAACCCTAACCCATTCAACCACCTCCCCAAATACACACATATAGGCCAAACCTGGACAACCTTGCTTTCCGGGGCTTCTATTCTTCAATCTGAGGCTCTATTTGGTGGTCTAGAGCGAAGAAGATCCTCAGACCTGTCCAGCTCAAAACCTCGCCCAGGCACCCTCGTTCAAGGGTCGGGGTGACCCCTATCCAGGATCTCCAGACCAGGCACAACCGCCACCTCTCACCTCCCTACACCCGCCTGCCGTGCGTGCGTGCTCCACAAAGCGTAGTGCGCCCGAGGGCAGGCTGCATCGAAGCTGCGAACCGGAGTCCCCATCTGGGTACCCTCTCCTCAGGTCACTTGGTTCGGCCTGGATCCCCCTATATGGTAGGTGCCAGCCCCGCGTCCCGCGCACTCCCGCGGTCCAGCCCAATGGCGGAGGTTGCGCGCACGCACTACGAAGCCTCCGCGTTCAGGGTCCGCCTGTTGCTCCACTTACCGTGAGGCCCGAGCCAGCGCCGTAGTCCGAGCGGAATCGCCTAGCACTCGACGGGCCGGGCTAGCGAAGCAGCTCTCGCCTCGGCCGCTGTGACGTCACGTGGGCAATGGGCGCCCGGTGCCTCCTGGGAGTTGTAGTTTAGAGCGGCGGACTGGCAACCTGTCAGCCCATCCTGGCTCTGTCCCTGCTCCCGAAACCACAAATAAATACCACGGTTCCCTCCATAGGATTCCCGGAGTTATCTGTGGTCTCCCTGGCCTTCTGTTTCATAGTCTAATAAAATGGGCTCCCTGGGGGAGAAACACCAGAGGGCAATAAGATCCTTAGATATAAAGAGCATTGATCAAGCCCTACCTGGATTCCTTCCCTAAATCTGATTTTCTCCTTCCAGTTCTTGGTTTATTTATTGGAAAACAGACTGCCTAGTTCAAACCCCAGCTCTGCCACTAACTATTTAGGGCAAGTTACTTAAACTGCTCAATGCTTTTAAGTGCTGTATTGGTAAAATGAGGATGTAGCAACCTTGGGGTTGTTGTGTGCTTTACATATGTAATTTATATATGTAATGTGCCTGGAACAATGTCAGGCACAGAATTAGCACTGTGTCTTAGGTATTATCATTAATTTTCATTCATTCATGCCTGCAACTAACACTGATTGGATGACTTGTCTGTGCCAAGAGAGGAGATTGGATGCTGAATCAAATTTAAAAAACAAACAAACAAAAAATTTCCCTGTCCTGAAAACAATTTCAGTGTCATCAGCTATGATGAGGGCTGCACAGGAGACTGTGAGAGCATCAGATAGGGTGCAGCGTGTGTAGGACATAGCCAGGTAAGGGAGCTGGGGTGGGAAGGGCATGATGGCAAGATAGAGAATAACCTGGATAGTCTGAGGATATGGCTGTAGCCATATGGAGACTGGGAAGGAGAGGAGCTGAATGGGGTGTCCAGTCAGGTCATGAAGGGAAAAGAGTCTGCACTTGTCCTGAAGTAGTAAAAAGCCACTGAAAATTTTTAACTTGAGGGTGGGATTAGTGAGATCAAAGGCAGAGAAACCAGTGAAAAGACAATTACTTTTTCCAAGCAAGAGATGATGGGAGACTTTTCAGTATGTGTTTACTTGTACTGATTGGATTTTTCTTTACCGTGATTATGTATTTTATAAATATTTTGTAAGTTTTTAAATTAGCCCTGTCTGGTGTGGCTCAGTGGATTGAGTGCTGGCCTGAGAACCAAAAGGTCGCCAGTTCAATTCCCAGTCAGGGTACATGCTTGGGTTGTGGGCCAGGTCCCCAGTAGAGGGCACTTGAGAGGCAACCACACCTTGATGTTTCTCTCCTTCTCTCCTTCCTTTCTTCCCTTTCCGTCTCTAAAAATAAACAAAATATTTTAAAAAATGTTTAAATAAAAAATTTTTAAGTTTTTAAAGAAAAAGGTTAAATGAGGCGTGTGGTATCTTTGGAGCCGGAAGGCTGTCTTGAACCTTTAGCAGAGTTAGGGCCCTTTGCCAGAACTGGCACCTGAGGAACTGGGGAAAGATCTGCAAAGACCATGAGGAAGGGGCTTGCTGAGTCTCTGGAGTTCCTCTTCGCCCTCCAACCCCTCCCCACCCTTTCTTTTCCAGCAAATTGGCAATACCCAGGAGTAAAGCCAGGAGGCCCCTCAGCTCCTGAAGCAGGCACTGCTTGAGCCAATGGAAGAAGGGAGAGAGAAGGTTGCTCCAGACGGGAGGACAGCCTGAGCAGAGACGCAGGGACTGAGTGCTTGCCGTGTGCCGGAACTCACTCGGCGTTCACGTGGCGGCCACGTGGACCCGGTATGCTAGCTGGCAGCCTTGGCTGCCACAGTTGAGGGAGGTGCCTGGGAACGACCTCACCCAGTTTGACTCCGCCTGAAAGAGCGCCGGTCCGAACACTCTGCTGCCTCCTGGCGGTGTAGACTGCACATGCACTCCACGATCCCTCTTCAGAATACTCTAGAGCCTTATGTGTACTAATTTTATCTTCATAACAACACTCTGATATTACTCTACTCATTTTACAGTGAGAGAACTGAGGCCCAGAGAGCCCGCCCACCAACCCCTGCTTTCTTTTGGTTACACACACACACACTCACTGGCTCCAGCCACACTGGCCTCCTTGTTGTTCCCTAAACATACCTCTCGGAGCCTCTCACAAGCTGTTCTCTACCTGGAGCTGAACTCTACCTGGAGCACCCCCCAGATATCTACATAGCTTACTCCCTCATATCCTTCAAGCTTTGGCCCAAATGTCAACTGAATGAAGCACACCCCAACTGTTATATTTAAAATTGCAATCATCCCCATCCCTCTCCCTGTGCCCTACTTTTTATTTTATCCATAGCTTTTAGCACCACCAACATACTATATACTTTATGTAGTTATTATTTTGCTCATTTTCTTCTCTTCTTATAAAATGTAAGACCAGAGCATGAATATTTGTCTGCTGTACTGACTTATCTCCAGCCCCTAATCCTGATACATAACAGTGCTCAATAAACATTTGTTTAAAAAAATGAAAGAAATTTATTCTCTGAGATATTGAAATTTAGTGTTCTTATGATCTATGGCTGGCTTCCCTCAGAATGAGTGATCTAAGAGGAAGCAAGACGGGAGCCGCAATATCTCTGTGATAGCCTTAAAAGTGACATAGTCATTTCTGTATTACCCTCTTGGGTCAGGTCAGCCCTATTTAGTGTGGAGAAAGACTATACAATGGTATAGGAGATACCAGGAGGTGGAAATCATTGAGGACAATTTTGAAAGCTGGCTATTAAGCCTGGAGGCTGCTAGGCTATGCAAAAGCCTAAAGTAGCCCCTACAGAGAGACTATATGGATACACAAGTAGACCCTGAGACTACGAGGAGAAAGAGAGAGAGAGAGAGCAAGCGCTGCTAGATTATCCCTCAGCTGCTTTAATCTCTCATTGTTCCAGTGTTAGCCATCATCTGACTGCAATTATGTGAGCCAGGACTACCCAGCCACAATTCTCTCCCCAAATTCATAACCCATAAAAACTATGAGAGAAAATAATAATTGTTATTGCTTTATGCCATTATTTTTATAGTGATTTGTTGAACAGCAATAAGTCCTCTAAAATTCCCAACTCCTGGTATTTATACCACTCTGAAGTCTCTTTCCACATGAGCTTATTGCCTTACAGTTCTATAGTTCAAAAGTCAGACAGGAGTCTCACAGGGCTAAAACCAAGATGTCAGCAGTTCCTTTTTGGAGAATCTAGGGGAGAATCTATTTCTTTGCCCTTTCCTACTTCTGGGAGTCACATGCATTCTTTAGCCCATGACCCCTTCCTTCATCTTCAAAGTCAGCGATATTGCATCTCACTGTGCCTTTCTTCTGTAGTCACACCTCCCTCTGACTCTCTTGTTCTATGGCCCTTTTTCACTTTTAAGGACCCTTGTGATTACATTGGACCCACAGGATAATCTGTCTTTTAAAATCAGCATATTAGTGACCTTAATTCCATCTGCAACTTTAATTCCCATTTGCCATGTAACCTAACATATTCACAGGTCCCAGGAATTAGTATATGGATGTTTGTGGAGACCATTAGTCTGCCAACCCTGCTCTCTGGAATAAGAGAAGTGGGCCTGAGAGGGGGCAGCCAGAGAAAGGACATGGGCTAACAGGAGAGTGACATATCACAGACACCAAAGAAGAGAGTTCCCAGGAAGGAGTGCATTACAGTGACTAATACTGTTGGGAAGTCAAGCCTGATAAAAACTGAAAAATGTCCATTGGATTTAGTGTCCTGATGACACCAACCATTAATTGGGGTAGTGTTGGGGACAGCAGCTATTTTATAGTGATTTGTTGAACAGCAATAAGTCCTGGGCAAGGAAGGAGAAGTAGAGACTAAGATTATAAAATCTTCCCAAAAACTTTATTGTAAAGGGAGATTTGTTGCTGTTTCTAAAAACAGGAAAGAGAAGCAAATTTCAATGCAGGTGGGAAGGAAGGAGAGAATTCACCTAGCCCACAGTAAACTTCGAAAGGAGTGACCGTTGGATTGACCCAGGCTCAGGTTTAGCCGGGCAGGTGCCACAATAGAAATGAGGTTAGGATACTGTCAGGTTGTGGCTGAGGTGATAGAGATGGAAATAAAGGAGAGAGGGAGAGAGAGAGGAAGAGGAGAAAGAGAAAAGGAAGGGGAGAGAAGAAGGGGAAGGGGAAGGGGAAGGGAGGGGAGGGGGAGGGAAAGGGAGGAGGGACCCAAAAAACATGAATTTATGTATAAAATATTATGTATTTATTCTAACATGTTTAAATTTTAGTCACCTTCAAAGTTCTCTCCATTTGATGCAATACACCTATTAAGAGGTTTTTTCCACTGCTCAAAAACAGTTTTTGAACTTTCCCTGGCTGGTGTGGCTCAGTGGATTGAGTGCCCAACAGCAACCAAAGTGCCCCTGATTCAATTCCCAGTCCAGGGCACATACCTGGGTTGCAGGTTAGGTCCCCAGTAGGGGGCGCATGACAGGCAACTACGCATTGATGTCTCTCTCCCTCCCTCCCTTCCCCTCTCTTTAAAAATAAATTAAAATCTTTTTTTAAAAAGAACAGTTTTTGAACTCGATTTTGATGCCTTTTAGTGCTCCTGCCGTTTTTTTGTTTCACCTCTTCAACATCAGCAAAACGTTTCCCTTTGAAGACTTTTTTCATGGAGTGGGGTGGAGAGAAAGTCACTCTGGGGAGATAGGGTGAATAGGGAAGACGGGGCACCGGAGGTCATGCCGTTTTTTGGTTAAAAACTTCTGAACACTCAGCACAGTGTGGGCAGGTGCGTTCATAAGTCACCCACTATGAATGGGCGAAGAGTTTAAAGAGTCTTCAAAAAAGCTTGGGGGAAGCCAAATGCAGGCTCTCACAGCAATGCCAGCGGGTACACTGATACAGATGGGTTCCTGGAACACTCATCTAGCAGGGGAAGCCTGTACTACAAGATGCCTGCCCTCCAGAGGATAATTCCTTTTGTGGTGGTGGGGGCTCTCCTCTATATACTCTTAGCTATAATTAACATACATAGGTAATTTTTAAAACTCCAGAGACTCCATTTCCCTTGAGGCATAGCGGCCGCTCGGACTACAAGTCCCATAATGCCTGCCATGACCCCTGGTCCGTAATTACCCACCCACCACCTTTCATCTGATTTTCACGTAACAGCATTTCTTGCTGTTTCGCTACCTCACCAGCACGCCTACCAAGTCCCAAGAAAACCCAATTGGATCAGGGAGTGGGAGACCAGGATGTCCCTCACCCTGAGGGGAGGGAGAGGGCGTGGCCATACCCTGCCCCGCCCCTGCTCCGTGGCTGGTTTTCCTGCGGCTGGCGCTTCTGGCCTGACCCGGAGATATGGGCGCTACCTGGGGGAGCCCCGGTTGGGTGAGGCTGGCACTGTGCCTCACGGGTTTAGTGCTCTCGCTCTACGCGCTGCATGTGAAGGCGGCTCGCGCCCGGGACCGGGATTACCGTGCTCTCTGCGATGTGGGCACGGCCATCAGCTGTTCGCGCGTCTTCTCCTCCAGGTGCGCGCGGGAGTGGAAGGCTTGGGGCATCAGACTGCTCATGGGAGCAGTGCATGGGGACCAGGTGTGCATGGCGGCCAGGTTGCCAAATGGTTCTGGAGTCTGGGATTGGCGTGTCAGCAAGCGGATGCATGGGGGGCTGGGCTTCTTAAGGGGGCATTGCCTTGTGAATGGGGTGTGGGTGTGTCAGAGATAGGAATGCTGGGCGGGGTGGGAGGCAGATAGTGCTGGGGACTGCAGTTATTCTGGGGAGTAACATGTGGATCTGGATTCCAGGGAATAACGGTTACCAGGCAGGATGGGTAACGCAGAATAAACGATGGTGGTCTTGAGTATGGCTGTGCCTGGGGATAAGGTGGCCGTGTGTGGCTGTGCTTGAGGGCCTGGGGTTATTGAGATGACTGAATACAGAGGAAGGGAACGGGTGGCCAGGGAGCTGGAGAATTAAGAGGTCCAAGGCAGACAGAACTCTGCTCCAGATTCCCAGTCTCTGGTGACTAAGCAAGGTCAACCATTATTTCCCACCTTGCCATCTTGTGGGCTTGATCCCAGTTAGGGCATATACAAAAATCAACCAGTGAATGCATAAGTAATTGAAACAACAAAATGATGCTTCTCTCTCTCAAATCAATACAAATTTTTAATAAATTATTGAAGGTCTAGGGTGAAAAGAGGGGCCTAAGGGGGAACCATGTCCAGACTGGGCCTGGGAATAGGGGAACATAGGAGCTAACACACGGATGCCTGACGTGGCCAAAGGGAAGCTTCATCAGGCGGTCATCGACCCTGGACCTGAAGCTAGGATTGCAAGAAATGGCAACAATGGGAAGGAGGCCAGCATAGGTGGCTTTTTGGAAATCACCCTTCCAGGACGGCCCAAGGCACTGGATTGACGCTCCTTACCTGGGCTTCTCCCCCTACACACACCAGGTGGGGTCAGGGCTTCGGACTGGTGGAACAAGTACTGGGGCCAGACAGTGTCTTCAATCAATCCAACAGCATATTCGGTTGCATCTTCTATACACTACAGTTGCTATTAGGTAACTCTCCCTGCCCCTTCCTTGCAGGCCCCACCCCTTCATGACAGCCCTTCCTTCCTTGGCCAGCCCAGCCCCTTCCCTTGCAATTTGGGGGATTCATACAGCTAGCTGACAGGGAGTTGCTCATCACTGAGCACTCTAAGGGTGGTAACTGATAGGAGCCTTTCAACACCAGTTTTGTAGGAAAGACTCAGAAATTCTTTTCGGACAGCATCAGTGGGGAGGCAGGAATCTTAACAGATTATCTTTCATCTCATGTAGATGAAATGTCAGCAGCGAAGTTCACTATTTGGGCTCCGGGGATCATTAAACAGATAGGAAAGTGAAGGCCTTGGTGGGGACTGTCAGACCCTCTTATTTTAGACTCTTCTCCTGCAGCCTCTGCTGTCTGGGTGGCACCATGAAGTCATGGTAATGTTCTAGAGGTGACCAATCCCTGAAGCCCATGTTTGACCCTTTTTTCCCTTGCAGGTTGCCTCCGGGGCCGCTGGGTATCTATCCTGCTGCTGCTGAGTTCCCTAGTGTCTCTTGCTGGTTCTGTCTACCTGGCCTGGATCCTGTTCTTCGTGCTCTATGATTTCTGCATTGTTTGCATCACTACCTATGCCGTCAATGTGGGCCTGATGGTGCTCAGCTTCTGGGAGGTCCAGGGACCCCAGGACAAGGTCAAGGGGCACTAGTCCTTACCCCAAGCCAGGCTGACCTCTTATGGTCTGCTTTGGCATGTCAACCTTGCCCAAGGGGGACATGTCTGGGTCCGTATAAGAGTCTACAACCCACCTCCACCGTACTCCCAAAACAGGACAATGGACCAAATGTGCCACACTCTTTCCTCCACCTATTGCCTCTGGCTCTGTCCCCAAGGATTGGTTTCCAAAGCTCCTGCCACTGCCCAAGGAGGGAAGGTTCTGAGCAATAAAATTTCTTAAACTGGCCAAGTCTGAGCCACCTGTCTGCCAGGGATCCTAAGTGTTGGGCCTCCCTGAGTCTTGCCTCCTCTGGGACTGGAAGGATATGAGTCAGAAGGATAGTGGAGGGCCTGCCTGGGAAGGGTTAGGAAACCCTTCCCAGGAACCCTTAGTTCCGTCTCCAGCATGTGGAGTCAGCAAGACCTGGGGTGCCACCAGCCCCCACCCCCAGGAAATAGGCTGGCAGCTTGTCCCTGCTGCCCATGGAGCCAGGCCTCCTCTCCTATAAGGGCCAAGAATGCACTTACAATGGCAAGCTGCCCTTCTGGTTCTATACATGCTTGCTGGGAAGTTCTTACAGCATAACCTTAACCCTTCTGGCTGCCTTTTCTACCACCCCAAGATAGTCTTGGTGGCCTGAAGGGCCAGAGACAGGTTGTGTTTTAGATTTGTTTTTCCTAATATCTACTGAACACTTACCTGTACGCCAAACACTGTTTAACAACATGACATGTGTGAACTCACTTAATTCTTATAGCAATGGTATGATGTTGGTACCATTATTATCCCTAGTTTGATGAGAAAACTGAGGTATAGGAAGGCTAAGCAATTTTCCTAAGATCACACAGCTACTACCCAGATGGGGAGTTAGAGAGCCCTTAGGATTTTAATTCACCAGAGCCCTCTGGCTCCAGTGTCAGTGCTCTTCACCCTATCCACGGCTGCCTCTGTGTTGGCATTAGGGTTCCTGAACAGTCTGGGCTGGCCCGAGGTAGAAGTCAGGAAGAGAAAAATGATACACCCTGTTTTCCCCTCCTGACTGAGTCTTCCAACACCAGCAAGAAAGGTGGGCACCACTGTAACCCTGAATGCCGGAAAGGCAGCAGGCCCAGAGAGGTATTGAGACGGACCAGTCTCATAGCTGGCAAGTAGCCAAGAGCCCTGGCCTCTTGACAGCCAGCCCTGAACACACTATCTGAAGCAAGATGTGAGAAGGTATATGAAATCCACCTGGACCTGAGCCTGGGAGAGAGCTGGAGAAGCTGAAATGAAAAGTGAGAACAGGGAGGGCCTGCCCATTGTACCCTTTGTAGCTACAGGAGGATAGCTTCCATGCTGGGAGCAGGTTTACTTTATGCCAGGCTCTGGTATAAGTATTTTTACATTAAAAAAGTCTTGAGTTTTTTCAGACAAGGCACAGACAGGCTAACTGTCCAAGGTTACTCAAGTGAGTGGGGGAACTGGCATTTGAACCCAGGTAGTCTAGCCATGGCTAAGGCCCAGCGAGTGTTGGTGAATAAATAGCCCAGGGTCACACAGCTACAGCCCAAGAACTAGGAGCCACTGGCTCCCTGCCAGCCTAGGAAAAGCAATGACACCTGACTCCTAGCCAACTGGGGGTGGAGCAGAGGTGGAGCTATGAAGACCCAGGTGGCCGGAGAACCACAGCACAGGCAGCAGAGCGGCATGGAGCAGCAATGAAGCAGAGCTGGGGACCAGGGCTGCTTATCCTGGGAGCTGTGGTCTTCATAGAGGGTGAGCCACTTGTGACTGAGTGGGTGGGGAAGTGGTATGGTGAAGGTTCAGGAGACACCTTCTGCCGCAGCAGCCTCCGCAGCTTGGTGTGTGTGTGAGAAAGACTGCCTGCACAGTGACAGTCTACCTGTAGTGACATAACTGTGTCTGCCTATGTGTGTGGGGAGATGGATGTGGCTGCCTGTGTTTAAAAATGGGTGATTTTCTTGAGCTGGATTACAGCCTATGTCTGCAGGAACTGTCACAGTGCCTGTACCCTGTGTATGTACCCTGTGCCCATTTGCGTCTCTACTTCCAGGAAGACCCTAGGCAAGTTCTGAGGCCCTTTAGCCTCAGTTCCCTGGTCTTTACATATGTCCCATCTCTCCTGGCTCAGATGCTCAATGGGTGTGTTTGTGTATGCCTATTACAGGGAAGAGTCAGGGCAGGGGACTCCTTAGTTGAGCATGGCAGTTTCTGGAAAGGTGGAGGAGTCTGAGTCGTTTGAATGGGTGGGGTGAGCCTCAATCCCTCAGAGCCCTTCCTCATTTGGACATGACACAGGCCTCTAATCCTTCCTCTTAGGCTTCCTTGGCTGAGGGCACAATTAAGCTAATGTTCTCCACTTACACAGGCTGCCTCCCTGACTCAGTGGCAGGGGCAGGAGTTGGGGGTTCTGAAGCCTGGAGGAGAGATGGCCTAGTCCCAGTCTGAACCCTGGGCCCTGTTCCTTGGGCCCTGGAGTGCTGAGCGCAGCTGAGGAAGGATAATTAATTACGGAGCATATGTTCTGAATAGGTTCTAATAAAAGCTGTTTCTTGACCTCATATAAATATTTTCATTCTGGGAGGGGCTGGTGAGGTAGCCAGAGTCATACTCAAGGGCCCAGGCAGGGTCTGTCCCCCAACCTGTCACCTCCACCAAAGCTGGGCCAGGCAGGTAAGGCTTGTGTCCCCACGTCTCACCTGTGTCTCTGTCTTCCTAGGTCTTCAAGCAGCTCAGCATGGTAAGCTCTGGACAGATGGGGCCTGGTTCTCACTTGGGTCTGGGTTGGACCCTGGGAGAGGGCAGGATAGGGGCCTGCTGTTAGCCTGACCCACCCCTCTCTACAGCTTGTGGGCAGCGTGGCCCTGGCCCCCCTGAACCTCAGGAGGGCAACACAGGGCCTGGCGAGTGGCCGTGGCAGGCCAGTGTGAGGCGGCAGGGCATCCACATCTGCAGTGGATCCCTAGTGGCAGACACCTGGGTCCTCACCGCTGCCCACTGTTTTGAAAAGTGAGTTGTGGCTGGGGTCAGACGAGGTTTCTGGTTTTGCGGGTGGGTGATTTGTCCCCAAACTCTGTAAGATGGATCCCTGCCCCTACAATAACAAAGTAGCATTTATTGAGACTATGCTATGTGCCAGGTACTTATTATCAAGTTAAGCTTAACAACCTTCGTGGTAGAAGCCTTACAAATGAGAACAGCTTGGGAGAAGGACCTTGCTTAAAGCCATGGGCTGATACTCATCCATTTTTCACCTGCTTGTTGTCTTCTTTGGTGTCACTGTCTCCCTTTGCGTTCCATGACTGGGCCTTGTCCCTCTCCTTCCAGGGCCGCAGTGACAGAACTGAACTCCTGGTCAGTTGTCCTGGGCTCCCTGCAGCGTGAGGGGCTGAGCCCAGGCGCTGAGGAGGTAAGGGTGACTGCTCTGCAGCTTCCCAGGGCCTATAACCATTATAGCCAGGGCTCAGACCTGGCCCTGCTACAGCTCGCCCACCCTACAGCCCACACACCCCTCTGCTTGCCCCGACCTGCCCATCGCTTCCACTTTGGGACCTCTTGCTGGGCCACTGGCTGGGATCAGGACACCAATGATGGTAAGTGCTGTCCCAGACTAAAGCCTGAAGAGGCACTCCATTTGCCTGTCACACAGACTCAGTTGCCAATTGTCCCTGCTTCTAGTCTCCCTTGCTCCCCAGAGCCCAGACTCTGGCCCCAATCTCCTGTCTTTTGCCAGCTCCCAGGACCCTACGGAATCTGCGCCTGCGTCTAATCAGCCGCCCCACGTGTAACTGTCTCTACAACAGGCTGCACCAGCGGCTTCTGGCCAGCCCAGCCCGGCCTGGGATGCTGTGTGGGGGTGCCCAGCCTGGGGTGCAGGGGCCCTGTCAGGTCTGAGGGGGAGGAGAGGGGAAGGGAGCAGAAAGGGAGGGGTTCTGGCTTCAGGCTGGGTCCTTAATCCACAGGGATGGGTGGAAGGGCTGCAGAGGGTGTCTGCCCAGGGCTGGGGTTCAGGGTCTCTCCTTGGCTCCGTTGCCTGCTCCAGGGAGATTCTGGGGGTCCTGTGCTGTGCCATGAGCCTGATGGACACTGGGTTCAGGCTGGGATCATCAGCTTCACATCAAGCTGTGCCCAGGAAGACACTCCTGTGCTGCTGACCAACATGGCTGCTCACAGCTCCTGGCTGCAGGCTCGAGCTTGGGGGGCAGCCTTTCTGACCCAGAACCCAGAGACCCTGGAGATCAGTGATGAGGACAGCTGCATAGGTAAGAGCAGAGGCTGTTAAGAGTGTGACATGTGGGGATACCCAGGCCTGCATGAGGACTTCTGGGCAACTGGTAGAAGCCACTTGAAATAATTGGCACAGGGCATCCACCTGCTAACTAGGAGGCTTTTAAGGCCCGTCCCTTTGAGCACTTACAATGGGAACAGCCCTATTTAGGGCTGAGTGGCATAAACGATTCAAAACTTTATGGGTTTGGAGTTTAGGTAAGAAGAGGGATCTCTCTGATCTGGCTGAAGGTTTTTGAGGTTAGCTGCAAATTTCCAAGCAGGAACCCAGTGAGACTGGACAGGGCATGGCTCCCACTCAGAATTCTAGAATAAAGTGACTAACATGCAAATTGCATACAAAATAATTTCTTGGACGGAAGTTGTCTTGATGGGAAGAGAAGCACTAGTGAGCCAGGAATTCTGGGGCCAGTCCAAGCCTGGAGGGGTGCAGACTGATGGAGTGGAGGAATGATGAACAGGCTGGACCATCAAGGTTAAGAGCTTAGGCCCTGGCTTTGAATATCAAATCTACTATCTACCTCTAGTTACTGAGCTAGAAAGTCACTTAACCTCTCTAGAACTTTGGTTACAAGGCTAGCAAAATTCAACTTAAAAGGCTGTTGTGAAGATCTGATAGTACATGGGAAGCGCTTAGCACAGGTTCTGGCATGCAGTGAACACTTTGCAAGAAGACAGATGGTGTAATCTGTTTCAGCCTGCGGAACCTTGGGGAGAGAAGGGGCCCAAGCAGAATCCCCTTCCCCATGGCCCTGGGACGCCAGGCTGAAGCACCAGGGGAAGTTGGCCTGTGGTGGAGCCCTGGTATCAGAGAAGGTGGTGCTGACTGCTGCCCACTGCTTCATTGGGTAAGCCCTGTCTCCCTCACCTTTGTGACCGGCAACCTGCCACCCAATGCTTTCAGTGCTGTCTCTGCACAGGCGTCAGAGCCCAGAGGAATGGAGCGTAAGGCTGGGCACTGGACCAGAGGAACACAACCTCAAGCAACTCATCTTGCATGGGGCTTACACCCACCCAGAGGGAGGCTATGACGTGGCCCTCCTGCTGCTGGCCCAGCCCGTGACATTAGGCCCCAGCCTGCGGCCCCTCTGCCTGCCCTACGCTAACCACCACCTGCCTGATGGGGAACGTGGCTGGGTCTTGGGGCTGGCTCACCAAGGAGCAGGTATGTAGGGTGGGGCCACCACCAGCTGTCCATCCAGCCTAGAGGCCACTGGGGCAGCCAGGTCTTTGCCCCCTCACCACAGGCACCAGCTCCCCTCAGACAGTGCCTGTCACTTTCCTGGGGCCCAGAGCCTGCAGCCGGCTACAAACTACCCTTGGGAGCAATAGTATCCCCATTCTGCCAGGGATGGTGTGTACCAGTGTTGTGGGTGAGCCACCCCGCTGTGAGGTAAGCCCCAGTCCTCCAAACCTTATCCCACAGACCCATCATCCTCACCCTGCACCTCATATACAAGACCTGCCAGGCTTGGCCTCCAGACTTGCCTCTTACCTGAAATTCAGCCTTTCTGCCAACTGGCACTCAAAGAGCCAGAGGCTCAGGCCAGCCCCTAGCCCCTTCTGCCCCTTGCAGCTGCCTAGGGGTAAGAGGAAGTCACCTAGTGCCGCCTGATCTCTGACAGGGCCTGTCTGGGGCACCACTGGTGCATAAGGTGAGGGGCACATGGTTCCTGGCTGGGCTACACAGCTTTGGAGATGCCTGCCAAGGCCCCGCACGGCCTGCGGTCTTCACAGCACTCCCCACCTATGAGAAATGGATCAGCAGTTTGGACTGGCAGGTGTACTTCACTGAGGAGCCACAGCCCGAGGCTGAGACTGGAAGCTGCCTGGCCAATATAAGTATGTGGCCCTGGGGCCTTCCTGCTGACACTTCCCTCTCCAGACCCCTTCTCTCTGTCTAGGGAAAGATCTGTTCTGAGTCCCCTCTAGCTGCCCTGGGTGGTGTGGAACAATAGATCGATCTGGATTCAAATTCTGGCTCTCCATCATTGTGACTTGGAACAGATCTCCCAACCTCTCGGCACCTGTTTTCTCATCCATCATGGGGGCTAAGTAGCACCTCTTCCCTCTTCCTTCCAGGGAGGGAGATTTGTGAAGATGAAGCCACCGCCCCCACTCCCTCTCCCTGACAGGCCAACCAGCTGGCTGTTGACAGGTGGCTCTGGGATGCTGCAAACACATCACTGCTTCAGCCCCTCTCCATTCCTCAACCACACAGTTCCAGACACTGGGGCAGGCCCAACAGCCCAGTGGGTTTTGGGAAGGAGCCTGCCTGGATCATCAGTTGCCGTTTCCTAACCCTGCAGGACAGGGAGATGTTGCCTGTGGATACTCCCCACTCTCACCTCTGCTCTCTGATGCAGATGTCCCAGCTTTCCCTGTTCTCCATCCCCTCAAATATAATCACACCAGCCACATACTTTGAAAAATTTTTTTTTGGCAGGGATGGGGGGGCGTGTAATTTTCCTTTTTTTAAACTTAAATAAATTGTTACAAAATAGACTTTAGAAAATAAGTTACAAATTGTAGCAAAAGGCCCCCCTTCCACAGGTAACGTTCCTACCCCCTGGTCTTTCTGAATCTGCCTGTCCCTAGTGTTGGAATCTGGCTGGTGAAGGTAGCCTGACATCATGGCAGACCCTGGCACCAGGTTTCTTGCAGAACTGGTCATAATGAATAGCACAGTGACAAAGGCTGGGGAAAGAGGTCCTTCAAGGACAGGGACATGAGGAACACCTCACCCCCTGCTTGGGAAAGAAGTCAGATCTGGGTCTTTTTTGCAAAGGGAGAGGAGAACGGATGGGGATGCCCAAACTACTCCTGAGTAGAACACGGAGATCAAGCCTTTCCCTGCAACCCATACTCTTGCCCTATACTCTCATCTTTGGAGACCTGAAGTTCAGAGGGAGAAGCTGAGATCTGCAGGCCACTGGGGTGAAGGGTCCAGGAGTGGAGTTGTGGAGGTGGGTGGAGGGGGCAATGACTGGCCCACCGCTGGTGCCTTTGACGCTTCTGGCGGGAGGCGGGGGGAGAGAGAGAGAGAGAGAGAGGTAGGTTACTGAGGGAGCCACTCCACACAGCTTGTACTTCCCTTCCTAGCCCTGTCCATGTCCCCAGGAACTTGCATGAGAACCAGAGAATCCTAGGACTTCCAATTATTTTCCCAGACTTGGCTAACTGGCTCCTTACTCATTCCCTTGAGGTCACAAGAAATCTTTTATTCTGAAAGCCATCGCACTAGCTCTCTCAGGGGAATCTCACCCACCAACCCCTCCTTCCCTAACAATCTCTGGTCAAGGGCCTCCCATCTCAGGACACCCACCCTTGGTGGCCACTAAATGGAATGGGTCCTGGGAGATCTCAAGAGGAGGTGAAGCAAACAAGCCCAGTGCTTGTTGAAGAAACAGGCTGTCCCACTCCTCCACAGCCTCATCTTCCAGCTCAGCTGGGTGGAGGTGACTCTGGAGATTTCCTGATAGAGAAGGGAGATAGGGGCTAATGACTGTTATTGCTGCAGCTGGGCCTGGTTTCAAAGAAACAATTATCTGTGACTCAGTCCTCTAGTTGAAGGTGTGCTGGTCGTAGGGGGTGTGCTAGGGGGTGTGCGGGTAGAAAGGGTGGTTTGGTTGGATCCTAAAAAGGACATACCCAGCAAAGGAAGAAGAAAAGGGTTGAATAAAGGGAAGGGGAAGTGATGTGAGGCAATATTGGTAGGAAAGGACCAAAGGTCTAGTTTCCAAGAAAAGAGGAGGGGGAGCAGAGACAAGATGTAGGGAAAGAGGGGCAGGAAGCTGGGAACCAATCAATGACCCAGCTTCTCTGCACTGAAACCACAAAGTCCAGCCGAGGTTGGGGGGGGTGCCTCCCACACCCCATTCCTCATTCCCCGCCTCCCTGCCTACTCTAGGAAAGCGCAGAACGTAGATTACCTGTCTCTGGGAATCATTAGTGGTTGGATCAGGAGGATTTCCAAATGTAGTAGCCAGATGGTACCCAGTTGCCTCCACTTCCAAAACAAAGACTATTCTTTGGCTCTGGTACAGCAGAGGAGCCTAGATGGCTGCTTCTACCCATGACCACTCCTCACCCCACCCCACCATGCTATTTATTTACCCAGCTCAGGGGCTCAGATCTAGACCACCCAAAAGGCAGCATCCTCACACTTTTCTCATTCTATACGCAACCTCCTGACCACCTCTTGGAATCCATGCGACCCTCCCTTCTCACTCCTTGCTCTCCCATCACCTTGGGGCCAGATTTTGCCCTCCATCATATGCCTACCTCCTCTGGGGTCCTTCAGTCCTCTGCCCATTCATACCCACGTACCAGAGTTGGCCACTGTCCATTCTTCCTGGTGCTGCTGCTGATGCTGCAGAAAGCTGATGCGGCGGCGGAAGTGGCGGGGACAATGGGGACAAGTGAAAGGCCCCTCCTGGGGTGCATGGACCCGCCCATGGCCCTCCAACCGGGCAGCTGTCCGGAAGGCCTTGCCACAGATGCTGCAGCGATGGCGCTTGGGGTCCGTGTGGGTCCTGCCATGATTTTTGAGGGAAAGTAGGTTGGGTAGAAGTTTGGGGCAGAGGGAACAAGGATAGAGTCCAGTGGTGTGGGCCTTCTGGTGGTTTAGCAGGCTACCAGCATGGCGGTAGGAACGCCCACACTGGGCACACCGGAAGGGCCGCTCTTCGTCTTCAGTCACTGTGGACTTTACTCTCTGTCCCCCGTTAGGTCTCTGCGTACTCTCTCCTGGGGCCCTGGGGGGATCTGATGGGGACTTCTGGGCTTTCCCTTGAGGGAGATCCACCTCATCCTCCACAGTCCCAGCTTCAGGACCTCTGGTGTCCTCTATCTGGGGTGGCACCTGACTGAGGCCCCTGGCATGAGTTGGCAGGTGGCTGACTAGTTCATGTTGGGACTGAAAGGCCTTGCCACAGTCAGGGCAAAAAGAGGTCTGGGCATCTATGTGGTTGTGGCTGTGACTCTTAGTGGCCACAGAATTCAAGAATTCCTTGGAGCAAAGCAGGCAATAATGGTTGTCTGTCTTATGGGTGTGGTGGTTCGAGGGGCCTTCTGATTGGCAGCAAGTTTTACCACAATGGCAGCAGGAAAAGGGGTGGATCTCTGGTTGGAGCTGAGGGCTACTATCTCTTTTGTCCCAGCTATCCACGTGACTCAGACTAGGTCCATTGCATTGGCTGTTGCCAAGGTGGCAAGGGCTTATGGGAACACTGTCCCCTGACTCGTCTTCTGGTTTGGTCAGTACATGACCTTGAGGGACCCAATCTCCAATATGATTCACTGGTCTCCCATCTCCTTGCCACCCATCTACTTGCCCCAGGCCCAAGGATACTGGCTCTGTGGCTTCTGAACCTGCTGTCCTGATGGGGCTATGACTCTGTTCCCCTGGCCTCATGGCTCCATGCTCCAACTGGGATACTAACTCAGTAACACCTGATCTGTCCTCTAGTCCCTTGTCATCAGCCAGGTTCCCCTTGCTGCCCTCTGTGCCACCAAGACCTTCCTGACCACTTTTGGTCTCCTCCTCATGCTCTCGTAGGTGCCGCTCCAGAGAACCCCGGCCAGGGAAGCCCCGGCCACAGAGGGCACAGCGGACAGCTGCCCGCCGGGATCGCCCTGCTCGCCGCCGCCGGTTCTCCGAGTGTAGCTTCTGATGGTCCTTCAAGGCCATGAGGTTGGTGTAGGTCTTGGGGCAGGTAGGACAGCTATACTGGCCTGTCTCATGGCCGCACTGGTGGTTCAGGAGGCTGCCTGCATGGCGATAGTTCCGCCCACACTGCCCACACCGGAAGGGCCAATCTTCCCGAGTCCGTTTTCGGGTGCCCTCACCCCTGTCCCGCTCGATGTGGATCCGCTGGTGACTAGCCAGCTGTTTCCGCAGGCGAAATGCCTTCCCACACTCACTGCAGCGGAAACGCCGGGGATCTGCATGGATGCGCCGGTGGTTCTTGAGGGACATGAGGTTTGAGAAACCTTTGGAGCAGGCCTGGCAGCCAAAGTGGCCAGTCTGGTGGCTCTGCCGGTGATTAATGAGGCTGCCAGCATGCTTGTATGACCGGCCGCACACCTCACAGCTGAAGGGCCGTTCAGAGCTAGCCTCAGTCTGGCAGCCCTTCTCTGCAGTCTCCAACCTCAGCTCCATCGCCTCCCCCTTCACAGTGGTATCCTCCCATGCCTCTTCTTTCACCCTTGACACCTCCTCTGAGGGCTCTACTTTAAGTTCCTCTTGGAACTTCCCCACTTCTGCCTGCCCCAGCCGCTCCTCTGCCGTGTTCTGGGGCTCACTGCTGCCTCCTGCTTCTGGGATGGGCCGCACCTGGGGCTCAGAGCCTTTGCAGCGTGGGTGGTTTCGCAGATGATTGCGGTAGGCAGCCAGGTTGGGATAGCAGCGGGAGCAGACAGGGCAGATGTAGTCTCCAGTCTGGTGGATCTTGCGATGGTTCACTAGGCTGCCCCCATGGCGATAGGTTTTGCCACACTGGTTGCAGCGGAAGGGGCGGGGCTGGTCCTCCGGAGAACTTTCCCCAACCTGCACGCAGAGGCTGTCTGTAACCTGGGAACCTACTCCCTCTCCAGACTCTGTGACTCCACGTTCTGCAGAGAGAGAGGTCACTGTGCCCTCAAACACACCACCTGCAACCATTTCTGTGGCATCACCTGATTCTCCCAAGTGGTTGGGAGTCTTGTCTGTGGTGTTCCCAGAACTCTGACTTTGGTGGTGCCGCTCCAGGCTCCCCAGGTCATCATAGGTCTGACCACAGCAGCCACAGATGTGCCCATAACCAGCTCCATCCAGCGCCTCCACCTCTCGCTGCAGCTGATTCAACAGCTCTGCTTCCGAGAGCTGCAGTGGGGCACCATGAGTGGAGGCCACCACTGCTGATCCTTCATCTTCCCCCTCCTCCTCTGAGCCCTCCATCATGCCAGAGGAGTCATGAGCCTGGCGCTGGTGAAGCCTGTAGTCAGCACGCCCAGGGAAGATCATGCCACAGAGGCAGCAAAGGAAAGGCTGTGCTGGGGCTGCCTCCCCAGGCCTATGGTTCTGGAAGTGGCTACGCAGGGCAGGTAGAGAGTCAAACTCCTTTGGGCATAGAGAGCACTGATAGATGTCTGGTGGTTGGCAGGGCCTGTGGCTCAGCAGGCCGGTGGCATGGGGGAAAGAATGCCCACAGTCAGAACATGTGTGGGAGACTTTAGCCTGCCAGCTAGTGGCATCTTCAACAGAGTGGGAAGAGGAACTGAGCTGGCCAGTGACCAGTTTCTGGTCTTCATCCACCCCAGTGAGGCCATCACAGGAGCGTGTCTCATTGCTTTCCCTATCACCTGGGATGTCCAAGTTGTCAAGGAAACAGGCCTTTTCCAGTCCTTTCTCAGGACCGCTACTCTCTTTAACACTCTGGAAACAGGTCTCATCCCTCTCAAGCCCACATTTGTCTCTTTCAGCTTGAGCCTGCAAACAGCCCATGTCACTTTCTAAGTTCTTTTCTGCTCGACTAGGACTTCCCCTTGAAGGGTCCTGGGGACAGTCCGAGCCCTCACTGTCTTCTACCAACTCCTGGGCCCAGTTCCCATCTAATGGGAGTTTGGCTTCTCCGCTACCCCCAGCACGGCCAGCCCGCCTCCAGTGCCGCCTGCTCCGCCGTCGACTGTGGCGTCTCAAATGGTTCTTCATGGCAGCCATGGTGTGGAAGTGCTTGGCACAGGCCCCACAGCTGAAGTCCCCGGTCTGGTGGGTCTGCCTGTGGTTGATAAGGCTGCCTGAGTGGCGATAGCTCTTTCCACAGTCTCGGCAAGCAAATGTCCGAGGAGGTGACACCTTGGTCTTTGTTCTGCTGTTTTCCCCTGCCCCATGGGTCTGGCCATGTTGTTTAAGGCTCTCGCGGTCTTCAAAGAGCATCCCATACATGCTACTTATCTGTGGTGCTGTCCTGTCTGCTACTGGAGAGACATCAGTGGCCTCCTCTTTATGTTTCCACCTATTCCCCTGATCTGTACATGGGGCTGCCTCTGCTCCCACTGGGTCAGGCTCCACCTTGAGGTGGCTGGAGGGACCTTCAGCCCCTGAGCCTGTGCTGCGGCGAGCAGACTTGCAATGAACCCGCACATGGTTGCGCAGGGCCATAAGGTTGGGGTATTTGCGAGGACAGAGTGAGCACTGGTACTCTCCTGTCTGATGGCTGTGGCGGTGATTCACCAGGCTCCCCCGGTGGCGGTAAGCCCGACCACATTCATTGCACTTATAGGGGCGGTAGTCCAGGGTGGTAGTGGGGACCTCTCTCTCTTTGTGGGTGGTCTCAGCCAAAGGCATGAGAGCTGATGGTTCAGATGGCTGCCCATCCTCCACAGGTCCTTGCCGGGGTCTGTGATGAGCCCGCACATGGTTTTTGAGAGCAGCTGCATTGTATAGCTGCTTGGAACAGATGGAGCAGGGATAGACACCTGTCTGGTGGCTCTTGCGATGGTTGATAAGGCTCCCAGCATGGCGGTAAGTACGGCCACAGTCTCCACAGCGGAAAGGTCGGTACTCCTCCAGGCCACTATCCTCCAGTTCCCCAGAGCCATTCAGCATCAGTGTACTAGGAAGCTGGTCCCAGCTGCTCTCATCTGTGTGCCCATTGGTAGTGGGCAATCCTTTCTCTTCCTCCAGCTGCTCCTGCCTTTCTCCCTCATGGGATTGCTGGTGTTCCAGCAGCTCCTGGGGAAGCCGAAATGCGCGGGGGCAGTGGGGACACTGGTACGGCCGATATTGAGCATGGAGTCGGGAGTGGTTCTTCAGAGCCATGAGGTTAGAGAACTCCTTGAAGCAGATGGCACAAGGGTAGATGCCCAGAGTGTGGCTCTGGCGGTGGTTGGTAAGGCTCCCAGCATGCTTATAAGTCTTGCCACATTGACTACACTTGTACCGCCGCTCTTCCTCAGCAGGAGGGGACTGAGTGGATTCCTGGGTCCCTGTGAAATTTACCATTGATTCAGCCAAGTACTGTTCCAAATTGCTAAGGAGGCTGTTGGCTGGAGTGGGGAGCGGTGGGGCTCTGGAAGAGTTGGTGGTGAGCCCCCAGCCCTCTGCAGCCTCCTCAGGATTTGGCTGGCTTTCCCAGTCCTCTCTTAGTCTGGTGCGTGGGTTTTCCCAGGTGTGCAGAGCTGCCTTGTGGTCAGGCTCAGACGCATGAGCCAATGTCTCTTCAGCATGAGTTTTTTGATTTTCCCAGCTTTCCCCATGGCCAACCCTCTCGCCCCAGGAGTCAGTGGACACTGTCTCCCCCTGGAGCTGTGGAGTGGCTTCATTGGGGTGGCCCTCAGGAGCATGACTCCTCATGTGGCTCTTGAGGGCCATAGGGTTGGTGAAGCCCTTGCCACAGGTGGTACAGAGGAAAAGGCCACTCTCGTGGGTACAGCAGTGGTTGACCAAGCTCCCTGGGTGATGGTAGCCCGTTCCACACTGCTGACAGTGATAGGGCAGAGGGATGCTATCAGCCTCCTCACTCTCCTGGTTGGAGGATGAATGGAGCAGTTCGCGGTGCCTTGACAGTTCCAGGAGGCTAGAAAAGTGGCGCTGACAGTCACAGCAGCTGAGTGAGGTGGGCACATCCTCCATGGAGCAGTGTGGCAGAAACCTGGAGGTTCAGGAAGAACAGGCAGGTGATAGCAGCATCTTCCTCTGGTGGTGGGGCCACGGCCTAGGAAGAAGGAGCAGTGGTTAGAAGGCCTGAATTAACTTTGCCTCTTGGTTCTATAAGTAACAAGTTCACCAGAGGTCACAGAGAGGTTCCCCAAACAACAATGCCCAGGGACCCGCTTTCTACTGGATCTAATCTAGGAGTACCATCATTTAAGGACACCCTGTACATAAGTTCCCCAAATATGGGAGCTTCCCTATAGGTATAGATGAGGACAGTCTGGAGGAATGTAACCGACCCCTGATCACAGACTTATTAACCTGTTCTTCAGACCAGACCTAAAAAGTTCTACTGCCCCTACCTCTCTTCTCTCTATAATTAAAAAGAAAAAAAGACTTTAGTGAAAAGGAGAGAAACATCAATTTGTTGTTCCACTTATTTATGTATTAATTGGTTGGTTTTCATATGTGCCCTGACTGGGAACTGAACCCACAACCTTGAGGCATCGGGTCAACTCTCTAACTGACTGAGCTACCAAGCCAAAGCTCTCTATCATTCTGAAACAAATAAACCATCTATCTCCTGTGACATGTTTAAAGGAAACCTGAACATTTTCTAGAATTTTCAATAAGAGGTGTCCAATCCTCCCTCCTTCACCCCTGAACTAAACAGAGTAGCCTAGAGGCAGTGAAAAAGCAGCCTTTCTCCAGTTGACAGATGAAGGCCTGAGAGATGAAATTAGGGGTCCCCTCCAGAAAAGGGGCCGGCTAGTTTTCCCACATCCCCTATTCCTTTTAGAGTCACAAAGTCTCCTTCCTAAAAGATTTTATTGGCCACTCCCTTCACCTACTTCCCCTGAACCCAAACTATCTTCCATCATGGAAATTCCATCCCATTTCTGGTTGTTCTTTATCCCCCACCTTTTCTTTCCCACACCTCCTCACTATAGCCTCACCACTGACCCTTTCTCAGTTCTCTATATCCTCTCATAATACTGACGATGACAGCAATGCATGCTAATTGAGCACTACCATGTGCTGGGCACTGTACTAAATAAAGAATATTCATTGTGTCACTTAGTCTCTGCAACACAGCAAAGCCTGTTGTTCCAGTATACACACGAGCAAAACCACTGATTGAGGTAATCTTTCCAAAAGCCTTTGCCCTCTCCATAGCAGGACCCTGTGCCTTCTAAATCACCTTGGCTTTATGACTGATTCTTCGGACTGATTCTTCACTTCCATCGGACCCCAATAACAACCATCCCCGACTAAACCCCCTCATTGAACCTGCTCCCCGAACTCTCACTTCACAAAGCCCGTCCCTCAAGACTGAATTCCTTCTATTGATCGTACGATCTCCTGACCAACTGAGTCCTCTCGTCTCACTTATCTCCTAGGCCAATTTCCTCTTAGGACCCCTACCTCGCACAGTTGGCCCCTTCTCGTTCCCGCCGCGGGTGCGTCAGTTGAGGACCGCGAACGGGAGCGCGCCTGCGCACTGGGACCCTCACCCTAACTGCTGCCGCGCGCCCCAAGGGGTGGCTGTGCTGGAGCTCTCGCGCTCCCACACACGCACACTCCGCCAGGGCTCCCAGGATGTGGGAGGTGGGGAAGAAGGAAAGACGAAGGGGGAGAGGGAAGGAGGTAGAGCAGACTGGGCGCAGCTGGCAAGAGCCAGGAGTCTACCCCCAGCTTCGCGGACACTTCCTATTGTTACTAGGAAACAGGAAGTGTTCTAGCCGCAAAAGCTTCCCGGTGAAACCTCCTCCTAGAGAACACTTCCTGACCAACCTTCAAGCACCCGTTCTACATAAACACACTTCCGGCGCTAAGCCAGAAGTAGCTAAAACGCGACTCTGACCCCGCCCACATAGGTCAAAGCGCGACGTCATTTAGTACTAACCTTAGCCACACTTCCGGCAAGAGCAGCTAGAATTAATGTAGCGCACTTTGGCTGAGCGCAGAAGAGGGGGAAAAGGGTTCTGAACCCATAGTTTCCGTACTTTGGTGACAGTTTTCGTGACGCTCCCTGCAAAACTTCTCAAGACAGATGGAGGGAGCTTCATGCACTCCTCCCTGTTAAGGGAAATGCTGTGGAATGTAATAGGATGTAGGCATTACACAGCTTGAGTATGGCCTTTCTGTCCTCCCGTCTTATAGTTCTTGGTGATCTGGCCCCAAGTTAAGAGCCCGGTGTACACAGTAAGACTGTCCGGCGTCTCCTGTCTTTAGCACCCACAGAAACCCCCAGCAATTTATTTCTCCGCCACCTTCTGCCAGGGGTACTCTGGTAAACTTTGCTTTTCTTCTTATCCGCGGAAGCTCCCTTCCACTTCCGCCTTCCGGCCACGCCTCCCCACCCTCCCCCTTCCCCCACTCTGGGTCCTAGTGCCTGCCTCTCCCTGGCAGTGTCCGGGGCTCTGCTGGTGAGAGGAGCTGTCGCTGACGCTGCGGAGCCAACCCAAGTCCGTTCAGGTAGGAAACACCGTCAGGAAGGCGCGGGAACCCCCGGGCGCCCCCAGAACCGACGAAATCCGAGCGAACCTATTCTCCTGTGGGTGCCGAGAGCGGATGGGGTTGGCCTGGCGCGATCAGCGCGGGCGGGGCAGGAGGAGTGCGGCCCCGGGAAGGCGCGGGTGCGCTCCAGGCCCAGCGGGTCCTAGAACCCGCCGACCGTCCGCGCGGGCCGGCTGCTGCGGACACCTGGACTCTGCCGGCGCAGCTGCCCGCCTCGTGCGGTGCGGGCCCAGGGGTCCTAGAGTCCTCCATGTTGAGAGCTTTTGTCCCAGGCGCGCGGCCCGCCCAGCTAGGGACCCGGAGCCTACGGCCCCCCTCCCCGGCGGAGGTCCTAGCCACCCCTTCCGCGGTCCTAAAGAACGCCATTTTTGCAGGTCTTTGTCCAGCCGCGGCCCTCGGCCCATTCATTTATTCATTCTCTGATTCTTCGTTCACTCCTTACCACGTTTTTCCAGGGCTTATTCCAAGACGCGTCCGCTCAGAGTCTCGCTCTGCGGGGCTGTGTGGTAGGAGCGCAGATACGTCTTGGTTGCGGGGAGCGAGAAGCGCAGTGTTTTCGCGACTCTTGGGCCCTCCTCAGTGTGTGTGATAGGCCCTAACGCTCTTCAAACTCCCACACACCTGAGAGGCCCCATTTTACTGATGAGAAAATTGGGGCCTAGATCACGGTAGTGCCCTTACTTCTGCCAGTTCCTGAGAGCACTGGGAAAGCCGGTATTTGGATGCAAAAGAGTTTTCCCATTGGAGAAGGCAGGCAACTGAGACAGAGGGCAGTACATGTGGAGATGCATTTAGGTGGGGGAGTTTGAGAATTGTGGCTGAAGCTTAGGTTGCTCTAGGGCGGGGAAACTTGCTGGAGCTGAGGCTGGAAAAATAGATTAGGATTAGGTTGTGAACTGACCAGATTGGAGGTTTAGGAGATAATTAACTCTCACCTCTGCACGGTTTACAGTTCCCCATCCACCATCTCACCAAGTCTTTGAGGCCTGTGGGTGACTACTTGTTTAGACATGGGAAATTAAAGTGCAGTGGATAAATAGTGGCTCCTTTTTCACCTCATCCCTGCTTGCAGGGTTCTAGCTTACACTCTCTGGGAATTAAATCTCTCCATCCCTGGCTAAAGAGCCTGTTCAGACAGCAGGACTCCATCCCTCTTCTAAACGGTAATGAAGCAAAGACAAGCCTCCCTCACTAGAGCAATTAAGCCATTGTGGGAAATAGGGGTGATATTTGGACATTGAGAACTTGGACAGGCAGAGAAATTCAGTTACTCAATAGTTGTTGATGGACATTCTCACAAATGCTTACTGTGGGGGAGGCAGAGGTTATAGGCCTGGGTTTGAATTCCGTCTCAGAGGTCGATTCTTTCCATTTGTTTTGGGATACCAGTCACAGTTCTAGGTATAGTGGATACGAATAATAAAGGTTCCTGCTGGCTCTTCACTAGCATGGACCCTTGCACTGGAGACAGAGAATTAATAATCAAGCCATAAAATATATAAGTGCTACCAAAGCAATAATCAAGAGACAGAGAGCAGAAGTTTGGGGGGCAGCCCACCTGGCTTTGAATATGGGCTATGACCATGACTACTTCATTTCTGTGTGCCTCAGTGTCCTTGTCTGTAATATGGGGGAAATAATACCATTTAATGTAGCCTATTCAGGCTACCGTAACAGAAAAAAACACCTGCTAGGGGCTTAAACAACAGAAATTTATTTCTCACAGTGCTAGAGGCTAGGAAGTCCACAATCAAGATGCTGGCCATTTCAGTTCCTGGTGAGGACTCTTTTCCTGGCTTGTGGACAGACACCTTCTGGCTATGTCCTCACATGGCCTTTCCTCTGTGCAGATACACATTCAGTCTATAACAAACTTCTAGGCAGTTACAAAGCTTAGCTTGAGTAGTACCCATAAAATTCTTACAATGATACCTGGCCCATGGTAAGCTTGCAAGGAATGTTAGCCATATGAGCAGCATAAAGGAAACTAAAAAGAGGGGAGGCCCTGACTGATGTGGCTCAGTGGGTGGAGAATAGTCCTGCAAACCAAAAGGTCACCAGTTTGATTCCCAATCAGGGCACACACCTGGGTTGCAGGCCAGGTCCCTGGTTGGGGGCTGAGGGTGTGCAAGAGAACCAATTGATGTTTCTCTGACACACCCATGTTTCCTCCCTCTCTTTCCTGCTCTCTAAAAATAAATAAATAAATTTTAAAGAGAGGGGAGGATAGGAAGTGATTAGCAGGGGTCCAGATAGCATTAAGAAAGGTGGTCTGGAAAACCCTCTTTGAGAAAGTGACAGGGATCTGAAGTGCAAATAAAATCAAAGAGATAGCTTCACAAAGATCCTTGGTGGAACAGTGGTTCTGGCAGAGGGAACTGCGTGCAAAGGCCCTTAAGTGGGAAGGAGTTTAGCTCTTTGAGGAAAAGACAGGGAGCCTGTGTGGTTGGAGCCTAATGAGCCAGGGAAGAAGAGTGGGAGTTAAGGTAGGAGGGAGTTAGATGATTCAGGACCTTGCTGGCCATGAAAAAGATACTGGTCTGTCGTGGGAGCAGTAGAAAATCTAATGATTTGGCTAATAAGCCTTAACTAAATGAATGCCTTAACCATAGCCTTAACTCCTTGACTATGTTCTTGTGCAGGTTGTTTCCCTTATAGAGCTTAGTCTGCACAGGGTGTAGTAAAAATGCCTCTCTCCTAGAAACTTGGGAAGACCCTAAGGATGTGTCTTTTATTCCTAAGCACTGAATGTTGGTTGGAATGAGCCAGAGCATGCTCACAGTAAAGATTTCTGAGTCCTGCGCCACACTCCCTGCATGATTGTTCTCATGTGTGGGGTTCACAGGCCTGACGGAGAAACATAGGAAGTGGTGGTGGAAGGGTCCTCACTGAACTGTGAAGTGAGGAGATAATGGTGCAATTTTAGACGGGCGCCGAGCCTGTGTGGCCCTCTGCTTTTCATGGAGCTGGGTGCCTGCTGGAATCAACTCAACCCAAAAGTTGGGTACACCCAACTTTTCCCTTGGGAAGTACCTTTGGAGAGATTTACCAATCTAGCTATCTGGTTTCTAGTTCACGGATAGGAAGACTGAAGCCCAGAGCTCAAAACCCAAGGGTCCAGACCCCTGAGAGGGAAACAGACATAAAGGGTGCTGGCTCAGGTCTCAAGGTAGCTCTGCAGGGATGAGAGAAAACGAAGGTGTGACTTGAGCTCAGAGTCTGGCCACTGTGGGGCTGGCCAGGGCAGTAGATAAGTCTGGGAGGGCCCAGATCACTGAGCAAGTGCCCAGCAACTCAAGGCAAGTTAAACAGCTGCATTCAGCTCCCAACTGCAAAGTTGCTAGCTGTGTGACCATGGGCTGGTTATTAAGCACAATACCATATTGCTTTGCTGGGCCTCAGTTCCCTTATCTGTGAAAGGGAATAGTTAATAATAGCACTTTGGTATCAACACAAAATTTAAGTGAGTTAATATATGTAAAGAGCTTAGGCTGCTGCCCTGTCTGGTGTGGCACAGCGGATTGAGCGCCAGCCTGCGAACTGAATGGTCTCCTGTTTGATTCCCAGTTAGGACATGTGCCTGGGTTGTGGGCCAGGTCCCCGGTTGGGGGCATGTGAGAGGCAACTGTTTCTCACACAATGGTGTTTCTCCCTCTCTGTCTCCTTCCCTTCCCCTCTCTCTAAAAATAAATAAGTAAAATTTTTTAAAAAAAAAGAACTTAGAATACTGCCTATTATTTAGCAAGTGCTCTGTAAATATGAGTTATCATATTTTATTAAAGAGAAACTTTGCAATGATTAAAATAAAATTTTTTTTTAAAAGAGAAACTTTATCAGTCAGACTGTCCAAAGATAATCTGGAAGGGAGATAGTGAATGCCTTATTCAGAGACAGGGAGGGATCCCCTGGAAACTCTAGGGATAATTGGAGCCTTGGAGAAAGTTGGTCCTTAAGCCCTCTAACTCACTTTCCAGCCTCAGGATTTAGTGGGAAAAGTGGGCGGGGGGGCGGGGAACAAGCTGAGAGTGAAACAGAGATATGTGGCATTGTGGCCAAAAAACCAAAGGGGAGATGCAGGAAGAACTTCCTGGGGGGAGTGAGGCTCAAAAGAAGGATTGGTGGGATTTGTAACAGCCAGGAAGGACCTGGGCACTTGCATGGTATGATGGAAGGCATGGAAAGTTCTTGAGTGCCACTTGGTACTTGAAGAAGAATACGCTGGCTGCCTGTGCATGTTAGATTGTATGTGTAGGGGTGGGGGCCTGAGGCAGGTCCACCAGGCAGAAGGATACTGACACTAAAGATGAGCCTCTACCACTCGCTCAAGGGGTTGGTCCCTGGGTCATAACTTAGAAGCCATCAACCCCTGAGGTGTACAGATGGGGAAACAGACTTAGAAAGGAGCAGGAGAACTTAGGCTTCCTACCCCCCAACCTAGCTTCTGGGCACACCAGGCTTCCCTCCCTTCTCTGTAGCATATCTTCACCCCCTCCCAGACCACCCCAGCAGCTGCTGCTGAGCACTCCTTAAGTGGATGTGCCATAATCCTCTTCCCTTCATCCCCTGTGGGGGATGAGCTGGTGTTAAAACTAATACAGCTGTTAATCCTATTTCCTTCCAACCACGATCCATAAGAACAGCTGTGTGGAGGGTGTCTGGGCTCTGAACTGAGAATGAAGGGGCCTCCACCAGAGTGGGTGTCTCAGGAGGCCAGGCTAGGTCAGAATCATTGATTATGACTCAGAGGCTTCTAACTGCTAGCAGTGGTTCAAACTGCCTTGAGAGTGACTGAGCTTTCCCATTACCAGACCTATTGGGAGCAGGAGCCCACAATGATTCCAGAGTAGAGGGTAGACCAAGATTCCTGTCTGGAGTGGAGTTCCTTACAGCTGTGCAAGTCCAGAAATCTGTGTGAACAGTTGCTGCCTCTGAAAGCTAACCAAACAGGGGAAAAACAAAATAAATATGCTGGGGACCTATCACTTCCAGACAGATGATACCAATCACCATGTTTAGTCCACTGGTTCTACCGTCCTCCGGACCCACCTCTGTCTTCCCTGGGAACTTAGAGACCTTCAGGCCAGACCCACATCTGGGTACCTCTATGTCTGCAGCTTTGCATAGGACCCTGGATCCTGGCACAGGCCTTGGATGCTGAGCTGAAGAAGGAAGATGGTGAGATGGATGGAACCAGGGCCTTCTAGGAATGCCACAGGGTCTGGAAAAGTTCAGGCTGTGGAGGGAAGTGCAGGTGGACATTTTGATGACCTCAACCTCCTCCCTTAGGCCCTCTGAAGTCACCCAGTCCAACTCCTTTTATCAGAGAACAGACCAGAGAGGAAACCTGAGCAGAGTGTTAGAGCCAGGAATAAAAGGAAGGATGTGGAGGTCCTGGGTGGGGAATGCAGCGAAGTTAGGGATCCTACTGAGGCCTCACGAAGGCCTTGATGAGGGGAGAGTCCTTGGAGAATGGCAAAGGAATGTGGCTTCTGTCTAACTCTGCTTCTCTCGCAGAGGAGCTTTGTGCATCGAGACCATGGAGGTGGAGTCTGCGGAGGCCCGGTCCCCAGGTCCCGGCTACAAGCGATCCGGCCGCCGCTACAAGTGCCTGTCTTGTACCAAGACATTTCCAAATGCGCCCAGGGCAGCGCGCCACGCTGCCACACATGGGCCTGTAGACTGCACAGAGGAGGTGGCAGAGGTGAAGCTGAAGCCAGAGACAGAACCTAAAGCAGAGGATGCCAGTGGGGACAAAGTGTCAGGTGCAGCGGCTAAGCCTCGGCCTTATGCATGCCCGCTGTGCCCCAAGGCCTACAAAACAGCTCCAGAGCTGCGCAGTCATGGACGCAGCCACACAGGCGAAAAGCCCTTCCCTTGCCCCGAGTGTGGCCGCCGCTTCATGCAGCCTGTGTGTCTGCGTGTGCACCTGGCCTCACACGCTGGTGAGCTGCCCTTCCGCTGCGCGCATTGCCCCAAAGCCTATGGCGCGCTCTCCAAGCTCAAGATCCACCAGCGTGGTCACACGGGTGAGCGGCCCTATACCTGCGCAGACTGTGGCAAGAGCTTTGCTGACCCTTCTGTTTTTCGCAAGCACCGGCGCACACATGCTGGCCTGCGGCCCTATGGCTGTGAGCGCTGTGGCAAGGCCTATGCCGAGCTCAAGGACCTGCGCAACCATGAGCGGTGAGGGCGCTTGAAGGGTTAGGAAGAGCAGGTCAGTGGGGTGGAGGTGGGACAACAGTGGCTGCTCTATTACCAGGGTGGCCTGGGCTTGGGTCTTAAGGAGCGAAATGAGCCAATGGGAAGGTGAGTGGGGTGGAGCTGTGGGTAGTGGGTAGTGTGTATGTGGGGGAAGCTAGTGATCCTGGTTGGTTGGTGGCTTGATGGGGTGGGGCATACTGGTTTGGGATGGGGCCCATGTAAGTGGGGTCTGATTGGCCAGGGTTCCTGGACAGCAGGAAAGGGTCAGGGCTTAAAGTTGGGCTACTCAGAGGGTCTCTGGTGGTGCACAGGAAGTGTGAGTGGGGCCTGATTTGTTTAAGTCTTTGGAGAGCAGAAAGGGGTCTTTTCTGGAATCTAGACGCCCCTTACTCTGGGGTATAGCTCTGTGGCTCTTAAGGGTTTGGGCCAAGACCTCCAGGGTGTTAAGGTCTTCTAACTTACAGTGCAGACAGGCAGCAGGGGTCAGGTGATGGGCCTTCACCTTCATGCCGGGTTCCCCCACACTCCTACAGGTCCCACACTGGTGAGCGCCCCTTCCTCTGCTCAGAGTGCGGGAAAAGCTTCTCCCGTTCATCCTCGCTCACGTGCCACCAGAGGATCCATGCCGCACAGAAGCCCTATCGCTGCCCAGCCTGTGGCAAGGGCTTCACACAGCTCAGCTCCTACCAGAGCCATGAGCGCACTCACTCTGGTGAAAAGCCCTTTCTGTGCCCCCGCTGCGGCCGCATGTTCTCTGACCCCTCGAGCTTCCGGCGCCACCAACGGGCGCACGAGGGCGTGAAGCCTTACCGTTGTGAGAAGTGTGGCAAAGACTTCCGGCAGCCAGCGGATCTGGCCATGCACCGGAGGGTGCACACGGGCGACCGGCCGTTCAAGTGCCTGCAGTGTGACAAGACGTTCGTGGCTTCCTGGGACCTCAAACGCCACGCGTTGGTGCACTCAGGCCAGCGGCCCTTCCGTTGTGAGGAGTGTGGGCGAGCCTTCGCCGAGAGAGCCAGTCTCACTAAACACAGCCGGGTGCATTCGGGTGAGCGCCCCTTCCATTGTAACGCCTGCGGAAAATCCTTTGTGGTATCGTCAAGCCTGAGGAAGCACGAGCGGACCCACCGAAATAGCGAGGCCACAGGGGCTCCCCCACAACAGGAGCTGGTAGTGGGGCTAGCTCTACCTGTCAGCATGGCAGGCGAGGGCTCAGTGGCCCCAGCAGCAGGTGCAGGGCTAGCGGATCCTCCAGCAGGGCTGCTAGGGCTGCCCCCGGAATCGGGCGGTGTGATGGCCACCCAGTGGCAAGTGGTAGGCATGACGGTGGAGCATGTGGAGTGCCAAGATGCTGGGGTTGGGGAGGCTCCTTCTGGTCCCTTGGAGGGGACAGGCGAGGTGGGGGGTGAGGAGGTTGATGAGAAGCCACCACAGTTTGTGTGCCGGGAGTGCAAGGAGACGTTCACCACTCTGACGTTGCTGCGACGGCATGAGCGCTCACACCCAGAGCTCCGGCCCTTTCCCTGTACCCAGTGTGGCAAGAGCTTTTCAGACCGGGCTGGGCTACGCAAGCACAGCCGTACACACAGCTCTGTGCGCCCCTACACCTGCCCCCATTGTCCCAAGGCCTTCTTGAGTGCCAGTGACCTACGCAAGCACGAACGCACCCACCCTGTGCCTATCAGCACCCCCACACCCCTTGAGCCCCTTGTGGCTTTGCTAGGAATGCCTGAAGAGGGGCCAGCCTGAGGGCCATGCCCCTTTGAACTTCTAGCAGCTCAGCCCCCCATAGGGTGCCTCCCAAACCTCCCTTGGCCCCAGCTTACTCTTTAGACTCCAGATCCCTGCCCCCCCTCCCCCCACCCACCACTGGGTTGCCCATTTACCTTCCCAACAAAAAGGTCTGGAGCAGTGGGGGCTGGCACCCACTGTTGAGAGACATGGCTCTCTGAGTAACACTCATTAAAGCATTCGCTTTGACACTGGGTTGTCTTCTGTGTTGTGGCTGGGGGCAAGGGAGGGGGTGTGGGCATCAGATAAGTAAGGTTCATTGGAGACCCCCTAGATTGACAGATTAGAAACTAGAAGGGTCTTTGGGTACTTTTTTGTTCTGCTTTATTTTTTTAAATTATATTTTGTTGATTATGCTATTGGGTGCATTTTTTTCAAGCTATGTGTCCAAATGTTTTGTGATAGGGTTTCATGATCAATTAAGTAGAGGAAATTCCCTGTGCCTTTCTTGTGGATTCTTGATCAAAAGTGTATTAAATTCATTTATAAGTCCTGCAACAGACAAATCTATTTAGCTTTGTTTATCCCATACTTATTTAAGTATGGAGACTTTTTATTGAGTAGTTCTACTTCTGTCCTTTTATAGAGAATAAACTGAGACCCAAAGTTAGTATATGACCTCCAAAAAACTGGAATTATCTTCTGGAGGGCAGGCCCCTTGTAGTACAGGCTTCCCCTGCTAGGTGAGTGTTCTAGGAACCCATCTGTATCAGTGTGCCAGTTGGTGGTGTTGTGAGAGGCTGCCTTCAGCATCAGTGAAATTGTTTTTGAAGACTCCTTCAACCCCTTTGCCCATTTCATGGTAGGTGATTTGAGAGCACACCTTCCCACACACTACCCTCCCTATTCACCTCATTTCGCCCTAAGCAACTTTTTTTTGTTGTTTCCCCGGATGAAAAATGTCCTCAAAGGGAAACATTTTGCTGACATGGAAGAGGTGAAACAAAAAACAGCATGAGCACTAAAAGGCATCAAAATCAACATGTTCAAAAATGTTTTGAGCAGTGGAAAAAAGGTCTCAATATGTGTATTTCATCAAATGGAGAGCACTCTGAAGGTGACTGGAATTTAAACATGTACGAATAAATACAATTTTTTATTTAAAAAATTGGGTTTTGGGGGGGTCCCCCTTATATTTCCTGTATACTGCAGTAACAAATTAGAAGATATACTTGAAAAGGGGGTCCCATTCACAATAACAAAACCCACAAACTACAAAATGTAAACCTCACAAGAAATATGCAGAATTTACATGAAGAAAATGATCTCTCTATCCTGAAGAATATAAGACCTAGCTAAATGGAAAGACACTATTAAAAGCTGTTGATTCTCCCAGCTTCATACTTAAATTCAGTGCTACCCATAAAGGATTTTTTAACAGAACTTGAAAACCCAAAGTTCCTATACAATACATTTTTTAAAAACAGTGGGGGCAATGTACTTACATACTGGGTAATCAGACAACAAAGCACTAGAGGAAAAACAGGATATTTTGGCACAAAAATAAATTAATCAGTGGAGTCGGGGAGAGGGTTCAGAAAGAGCCCCAACCACTTGAGGGAAGTTAGTTTGTGATAAGTATGGTTATTCAAATCAGTGGGAAAAGGATGAGCTGTTAAGTAGCTTTACAGTTATATCTGTACTCTGAAAGATTACACATCTTTTTAAGTAATTTTTTAAAGACCAAAATGAAAAAATAAAAAAGGCTCACATTAGGTGTAAATTAGTATGGCCTCTTGGGAAGGTGATTTGATTATATTTATCAAGAAATGAAATGGACATACCCTTTGGCTCAGCAAATATACCTCAAAGAACCTACACCTCATTTCTTCCCACTTAAATGGTAAAATTGAAGATAATATTAATACAGCAAAATTTGTGATACTGGGAACACCCTAAATGTCAATTAGCAAAGGACTACCATTAGCCACTATAAAATACATAATGCAGCTATTTCAAAAATGAGGCATACCAATCTATTGTTAAACAATATCCAAAATATAGGTCAAGTGAAATAAAAGTCCAAAGCTGTGTGGTTAGTATGCTCCTATTTGGAACACATTATGCATACGTACTCAAGTTATTGATATTAATATAGAATATTTCTAGAAGGATACTTAAGAACTGATTCTGAACTATAAATTCCAGCCATTAGGGTTTTCCCCATTTATAAGCCAAAACAAAGCCAAAGGTCAGAATGGACCAGATCCTCTTTTCCATGCCTTTTTATTTCTAGACTTGGGGGTTACCAAGTTAGCAGATTCAGGACGTAAGTGTGTGGCCTATCTCCAGACCCATGTGCCAGTCAAGAGGGCCTTGCAGCAGCTGGCCCTACACCAGGACTGGTATACCAGGCAGCACCAGGAGCATGAGTAGTAGGAATTCCCTTGATGTCAGGGGCCTAACTCAGCATTGTCATGCCCAGGCTTTGGAACAGGCCCTCATTCCTGTTCTCCATAGCAGACAAGGGGGAGCATGCAGCAACAGCAGGCACCAGGGTGTCATGGCTACAGGATGAGGGTACCTGTTTGGCCAAGGATACTCACTACCCATCCCCGTGCCTGCAGAGCAGGACAACACTGATGTCAGGGCTCCTGCCTGTTCAGGCTAAGACCAAAGTCTGAAAGAAGGGGTCCAAGAAAGGAGCAGACCAAACTGGGGTTGCAACAGGGGGACTTTGGTTACTACTGACTTGATTTGTGACCATGAGCAAGAAATTGATACAGCCCTGGCTGGTGTAGCTCAGTGGATTGAGTGCGGGTTTTGAACCAAAGGGTTAACCAGTTCAATTCCCAGTCAGGGCACATGCCTGGGTTGCAGACCAGGTACCCAGTGGGGGCCACATGAGAGGCAACCACACACTGATATTTCTCTCCCTCTTTCTCCTTCCCTTCCCCCTCTCTAAAAATAAGTAAATAAAATCTTTAAAAAAAGAAATTGATATAAAGATTCCATATACACTAATCAACAGATATACTTGGGTATTTACAATGAAGGAAGAAGTGAGTCCTATGGATGTTCAGAAGGGATCCACAACTCCTGCTCCCTTTCTGAGCCCAGCAACACACTCATTCCTTCACCTTCTCTGACACTTCAGACAACCCTAACCCCAGAGGACTCAAACAAGTTGACTTCTTAAAAAATTAACAGCTACATTAAGACGTACTTTGTATACCATGTGCTTAATACATCTGAAGTGTACAATTCGTTGGGTTTTAGAACACTCACAGGGTTATGCAACCATCACAATCTAATTTTAGAATATTTTCATCTCCCTAAAAGAAATTCCATAGCCATTAGCTGTCAACGCCTATTGATCTTCTCCTGCCCCCAATGCCTTTTCCTCAGCCCTAGTCAACCATTAATCTTATCTGTCTCTAAGGATTTGTCTATTGTGGACATTTCATGTAGCAGTCATGCAATATCTAGTCTTTTGTTACTGGCTTCTTAATATTCTTACCATAACATTCTCAAGGTTTATTCATGTTGTAGATTGATTAGTATGTCATTCCTCTTTATTATCAAATAATATTTCATTTTATGGGTATACCACTTTTGTTTATCCATTTATTAGTGATGGGCATTTGGGTTTCCATTTTTGTCTATTGTGAATAATGCTATGAACATTCATGTACAAGTTTTTGTGTGGACATGTTTTTCAATTCTCTGTGTATATATCTAGGAGTGGAAATGCTGGGTCATAGGTAACTATTGTTTAACCATTTCAGGAACTGTCAGACTGTTTTCTGAAGTGGCTGCACCATTTTACATTCCCGCCAACAGGGTATGATTGCTTGGATTTCTCCACATCTTCACCAATGGTGTTGTTATCTGTCTTTTTTATTATAGCCATCCTAGTTGGTGTGAATTTATGGTTTTAATTTGCATTTCCCTGATGACAAGTAATATTGAACATCTTTTTGTGTGCTTATTGGCTGTTGGTATATCATCTTTGAGTAAATGTCTATTCAAGTCCTTTGCCTGTTTTTTGTGTTCTTTGACTTTTTGCTGTTGTATATTAAGAGTTTCAGATACAAGTTCCTTAGGATTTACAAGAGTTCTCTCCCATTGTCTCTTCACTTTCTTCATTGTGTCTTTTGAAGTGAAAAAAATTTAATTTTGATGATGTCCAATTATCTATTTTTTTCTTTTGTTGCTTGTGCTTTTACAGCCATATCTCAGAAATCATTTCCTAATCCGAGGTCATGAAGATGTCTTACTACGTTTTCATCTAAGAGTTTTATAAACTTGCAAGTTTAAAAATTATAAACTTTTTTGAATGAAGACACTTTTTTAAAAAGATTTTATTTATTTACTTATTTTAGAGAGAGGAGAGGGGAGGGAGAAAGAGAGGAAGAGAAACATCAATGTGTGGTTGCCTCTTGAATAACCCCTACTGGGCACCTGGCCTGCAACCCAGGCACGTGCCCTGACTGGGAATCAAACTAGCAATCCTTTGGTTCGCAGGCTGGCATTCTAATCCACTGAGCTACACCAGCCAGGCAAAAGTTATAAACTTTTAAATAAACTATAAATGGTTTATGACTAAAAACTCTTAGATTTAGGTCTTTGATCCATTTTGAATTAGTCTTTGTATGTGGTTTGTGATGGGGGGGTCCAACTTTTACATGTGGATATTCAGCTGTCCCTGAACCACTGGTTGAAAAGACTCTTCTTTCTCCATTGAATTGTCTTGACACCCATGTTGGAAATAAGCAAACTGTAAATATGAGGGTTTATTTCTGGACTCTCAATTTTATCCTCTGGATATACCTGTATATCTTTATGCCAGCACCACATTGTTTCACTTATTGCAGCTTTGTAGTAAAATTTAAAATCAGGACTTGTGAGACCTTTAATCTCATTCTTCTATTTCAAGATTATTTTTGTTTTTCTGGATCCCTGGCATTTCAATATGAATTGTAGGATTAGCTTGTCAACATTTGCAAAAAAATGAAACAGAAAAGAAAAAGAAGGTAGCTGGGATTTTTATAGGGATTGCATTGAATCTATAGATTACTTTGAGGAGCATTACTATCTTAATTATATTAAATCTTCTGACCTATGAACATGGGATGTCTTAAAATTTAATCTAGATTTTTAATTTCTCTCAACAGTGTTTTATAGTTTTCAATTCTTTTGTTAAATTTATATCTAAGTATTTTATTCTCTTTTTTTTTGCTATTTTAAATAGAATTGTTTTCTTTGTATCATTTGTGGATTGTTCATTGCTGGTGATGAGAAATACAGCAGATTTTTGTACCTTCTTGTATTCTCCAACCTTATTGAACTAGTTTATTATCTCTAATAGTTTGTGTGTGTGTATTGCTAAGGATTTTCTATATACAAGATCATGCCATTGGTAAATAGAGATAATTTGCTTCTTTTCCAGTATGGTGACTTTTATTTCCTTTTCTTTCCTATTGCCCAGGCTAGAACTTTCAGTACAATTCTAAATAGAAGGGGTGGGAGCAGACACCCTGATCTCAGGGACAAAACATCCAGTTTTTCATCATTTAAGTATGATGTTAGCTGTGAAATTTTCTTAGATGCTCTTTGATAATTAGCAAGTTAGGGATGTTCCCTTTTATTCCTAGTTTCTTAAGTTTTTAAAAAATATTATTAAGAAAGAATGTTGGGTTTTGTCAAATGTATTTTCTGTGTCTATTGAGATAATCATATTTTTGTTCTTTACTTTATTTTCTGTATTACATTAATGGATTTTGGATGTTAAACCAACATTGCATTCCTGAGATAAATCCCACTTGGTTATGCTGTGTAAACATTTTTATATATTGCTGAATTTGGTTTGCCAAGGAAAACAGAATTTTGTTGAGGATTTTTACATCTGTATTCATATGAAATAGTGCTCCGTACTTTTTCTTGTGATATCTGTGTCCAGTTTTGTTATCTGGATAATGCCTAGACAGTCTGACTTCTACCTCTCACTCTTCTTCTTCTCCAATTTCCTTTACTTCCCTGGCTGTCTATCAGGACTGTCCCAGGCAGTGGATGCATCCTAGGTATGCCAAAATCGTAGGCCCTGCTGCTGGGGCAATACCTGGCATCACACCTCAATCTATGCTGTGGACTGCAGTCGTCATCTCCTCCTCAGACAAATGGCTGGATAAATTGGAGTTCCTTGTAGGAGAATGCTATAGAACGAGGGCTGAGGTGGACGTAGGGCAAGGCAGCAGGCTTCGTAGGGGTGGCAGTCATTCTGGATTCAGCAAGAATTTTAGAGGTTCATTCTCAATTACATTCACACAGCCCACTCTCAACAGAAATCCTTACCCTTCAGCTTGCCTTCCTTTCAGTCCTTACCCCAGCTCTGACCTCATCTGTAATCTACTCCTTCCACTCAGCAGGCTCCATCCATGTTGGCCTTCTGTTTGTTTCTTCCCAGTCTTGTGACCTTTGCACTTGCTCTTCCCTGGAGCTGGAACCCAGAGCCCTAGGTTTGCTCGTGATACTCTTTCTCTTTAAGTCTCAGCTCAAATCTTACTATATGTGATTTCTACTGCTGCATGATAAATGGTCACAAACTTATCATCTGAAAAACAATACCCATTTATTATCTTATAGTTCTGTAGGTCAGAAGTCCAGGCTGATTCAGCTCGGTCCCCTTCTTAGGATCTCACAAGGCCAAAGTCAAAGTCTTGGCCAGCCTGACTTCTATTCAGGAGCCTCTGGTGTAGAATTCACTTCTAGACTCATCCAGGTTATTCCTGAATTCAGTTCCATTTGGCTATAGGACCAAAATTCCCAATTCTTTGCTGGTTCTCAGCCATAAGTTGTTCTCAGCTTCTAGATGCCATCTACATTCCTTGATGTAGGCCACTCCTCCTGGAGGCGACTCCATCTTCAAAGTCAGCAATAGCACAGCAAATCCTCCTGCTTCAAATTTCTATTTGTTCTGTCTTCCTCTAGCTAGAGAAACTTATCTACCTTTAAGATCTTCTGTTAACCCTGGTTGGTGTGGCTCAGTGGATTGAGCACTGGCCTGCAAGCCAAAGGGTTACCAGTTCAATTCCTGGTCATGGCACATGCCAGGTCCTAAGTTGGAGATATGCAAGGGACAGCTGACAGATCTATGTATCTCTTCACACATAGATGTTTTTCTTTCTCCCTTCCACTCTCTCTGAAAATAAATAAATAAAATCTAAAAAAAGAGAGAGAGAACTTATGTTAATTACACTAAGCCTACCTGAATAATTTAGAATAATCTCCCTATTTTAAGGTCAACTGATTACTAAACTTAATTACATCTGCACAATTCCTTTTGCCATGTAAAGTAACATATTCTTAGAGATTAGGGCATGGAATCTTTGGGGGCTATTTTTCTCTTTACTATAGTTTATCCTCTAGCCCTCAAAAATTCACATCTGTCCCATATGGAAAGTACATTCACTTCCTCCCAAGGTCCCTAAAAGTCCCATCCCATTACAGCATCAAATCAGTCCAAAAATCTCATAAATCTCATCAAACCAAAATGCCCAAATCTTATTATGTAAGTCAGATGCAAATGAGGCTCTGGGTATAACCCATCCTGGAGCACAATTCTCATCTGTGGACCTGTGAAACTAAAGAAACATGTCATGTTCTCCCAACATGCAATAGTGAGACAGGCACAAAATAATAGTTACAGACATTCTGGTTCAAAAAGGGGCAAAATAGAAGGTAAAAAGGAGTCAGTAGTCCAAAGCAATTTTAAAATCCAGCTGTGTAAATTCCCTTAGGTTTCCAGTCCTAGAAATAATCCTCCATGGCTGTGTTGTGCTCTCTGAGCTCTCAGTTCTAATCTTTGGATCAGTCACTTTACCTAAGAAGACATTCCTGAATACTAATAAAAACAACTATCTTTGCCCTGGCCAGGTAGTTCTGTTGGTTAGAGCATCAACCTGATACACCAAGGTTGCAGATTTGATCCATGGTGAGGGCACATACAAGAATTAACTGATGAATGTATAACTAAGTAGAACAACAGATTGATGTTCCTCTCTCTCCTTCCCCCATCCCTCAAATCAATAAATAAAAATTTTTTAAAAATAAAATAAAACAGCCATCTCCAACACGTCATTTTTTGTCACATCATGCTGCTTAACTTTTAATAATATATATTGCCCTGACTGGTATGGCTCAGTTGGTTGGAGCATTGTCCTGTAAACCAAAAGGTTGTGGGTTCAATTCCAGGTCAGAGCACATGCCTGGGTTATAGTTTCTATCCCTAGTTGGAGGGAGAGGCAATCAGTCAATGTTTCTCTCACTCCCTTCCTATCTCTCTGGAGTCAAATATAAATATATATATATGGTCATGGCTTTGGAATATCTTAGCTATTTCTTTACTTATCCTTTCCACCACAACATATACCCATGAAAGCAGAGAACTTGTCTGTATTTTTACCATGTATTTCTCTAGCACCTGCCATCATGCCTGGAGCATGTCTTACTCTATAAATATTTTATGAATAAATTAGTGAATTAATTAAGTGAAGAATGGGGTGGCATGGTAGGCTGAAAAATGGCCCCCTACATATGTCTATGTCCTAATTTCTAGAACCTGAGAATGTTGCCTTATATGGCAAAAGGGACTTTGCAGATATGATTAAGGTAGGGATCTTGAGATGGAAGATTATCTTGGAGTGTCTGGATGGGCCCAAGGTAGTCACAAGAGTCCTTATAAGAAGGAGACAGAAAGAGCAGTCAGAGGAGAGGGTAATGTGATGATGGAAGCAGACATGAAATGATGTGCTTTGAAATGGAGGAGAGGGCAACTAGCCAAGGAATGCAGGCATCCATCAGAAGCTGAAAAGTTTAAGCAAATGGTTCTTCCTAAAAGGAACCACTCCTATCAGATCCTTGACTTTAGCCCAGTGGAACTAATTTTGGATTTCTGTCCTCCAGAATTCTAAAGGAATAAATGTGTGTTGTTTTAAGACACTAAGTTTGTGGCATTTTTGTGACAGCCATAATAGGAAATCAGTCCAGTTGAGCTGGGTTAACATTCATAGCATGTAGCTGCAATTGCTGGAAGCTCCTCAATATTTATTCCTCCAGAGTGGGAGTGCTTCCTGGGAATAGATCTCTAGTTCTAGAATTGTTATCTGGGCAAAAACCTTCCCAGGTTTTTAAAGATTAT